TTTCATATGTCAATGGAGAAGGGCCCATAATCCAGTTCAAAGCAACATCAATGAAGAAGGGCCCATAATCCAGTTCAAAGCAGATAATCTGGATTTCACACGTCAATGGAGAAGGGCCCATAATCCAGTTCAAAGCAGATAATCTGGATTTCATATGTCAATGGAGAAGGGCCCATAATCCAGTTCAAAGCAACATCAATGAAGAAGGGCCCATAATCCAGTTCAAAGCAGATAATCTGGATTTCACACGTCAATGGAGAAGGGCCCATAATCCAGTTCAAAGCAACATCAATGAGGAAGGGCCCATAATCCAGTTCAAAGCAGATAATCTGGATTTCACACGTCAATGGAGAAGGGCCCATAATCCAGTTCAAAGCAGATAATCTGGATTTCATATGTCAATGGAGAAGGGCCCATAATCCAGTTCAAAGCAACATCAATGAAGAAGGGCCCATAATCCAGTTCAAAGCAGATAATCTGGATTTCATATGTCAATGGAGAAGGGCCCATAATCCAGTTCAAAGCAACATCAATGAAGAAGGGCCCATAATCCAGTTCAAAGCAGATAATCTGGATTTCACACGTCAATGGAGAAGGGCCCATAATCCAGTTCAAAGCAGATAATCTGGATTTCATATGTCAATGGAGAAGGGCCCATAATCCAGTTCAAAGCAACATCAATGAAGAAGGGCCCATAATCCAGTTCAAAGCAGATAATCTGGATTTCACACGTCAATGGAGAAGGGCCCATAATCCAGTTCAAAGCAGATAATCTGGATTTCATATGTCAATGGAGAAGGGCCCATAATCCAGTTCAAAGCAACATCAATGAGGAAGGGCCCATAATCCAGTTCAAAGCAGATAATCTGGATTTCACACGTCAATGGAGAAGGGCCCATAATCCAGTTCAAAGCAGATAATCTGGATTTCATATGTCAATGGAGAAGGGCCCATAATCCAGTTCAAAGCAACATCAATGAAGAAGGGCCCATAATCCAGTTCAAAGCAGATAATCTGGATTTCACACGTCAATGGAGAAGGGCCCATAATCCAGTTCAAAGCAACATCAATGAAGAAGGGCCCATAATCCAGTTCAAAGCAGATAATCTGGATTTCACACGTCAATGGAGAAGGGCCCATAATCCAGTTCAAAGCAGATAATCTGGATTTCATATGTCAATGGAGAAGGGCCCATAATCCAGTTCAAAGCAACATCAATGAAGAAGGGCCCATAATCCAGTTCAAAGCAGATAATCTGGATTTCACACGTCAATGGAGAAGGGCCCATAATCCAGTTCAAAGCAGATAATCTGGATTTCATATGTCAATGGAGAAGGGCCCATAATCCAGTTCAAAGCAACATCAATGAAGAAGGGCCCATAATCCAGTTCAAAGCAGATAATCTGGATTTCACACGTCAATGGAGAAGGGCCCATAATCCAGTTCAAAGCAACATCAATGAGGAAGGGCCCATAATCCAGTTCAAAGCAGATAATCTGGATTTCACACGTCAATGGAGAAGGGCCCATAATCCAGTTCAAAGCAGATAATCTGGATTTCATATGTCAATGGAGAAGGGCCCATAATCCAGTTCAAAGCAACATCAATGAAGAAGGGCCCATAATCCAGTTCAAAGCAGATAATCTGGATTTCACACGTCAATGGAGAAGGGCCCATAATCCAGTTCAAAGCAGATAATCTGGATTTCATATGTCAATGGAGAAGGGCCCATAATCCAGTTCAAAGCAACATCAATGAAGAAGGGCCCATAATCCAGTTCAAAGCAGATAATCTGGATTTCATATGTCAATGGAGAAGGGCCCATAATCCAGTTCAAAGCAACATCAATGAAGAAGGGCCCATAATCCAGTTCAAAGCAGATAATCTGGATTTCACACGTCAATGGAGAAGGGCCCATAATCCAGTTCAAAGCAACATCAATGAGGAAGGGCCCATAATCCAGTTCAAAGCAGATAATCTGGATTTCACACGTCAATGGAGAAGGGCCCATAATCCAGTTCAAAGCAGATAATCTGGATTTCATATGTCAATGGAGAAGGGCCCATAATCCAGTTCAAAGCAACATCAATGAAGAAGGGCCCATAATCCAGTTCAAAGCAGATAATCTGGATTTCACACGTCAATGGAGAAGGGCCCATAATCCAGTTCAAAGCAGATAATCTGGATTTCATATGTCAATGGAGAAGGGCCCATAATCCAGTTCAAAGCAACATCAATGAAGAAGGGCCCATAATCCAGTTCAAAGCAGATAATCTGGATTTCATATGTCAATGGAGAAGGGCCCATAATCCAGTTCAAAGCAACATCAATGAAGAAGGGCCCATAATCCAGTTCAAAGCAGATAATCTGGATTTCACACGTCAATGGAGAAGGGCCCATAATCCAGTTCAAAGCAGATAATCTGGATTTCATATGTCAATGGAGAAGGGCCCATAATCCAGTTCAAAGCAACATCAATGAAGAAGGGCCCATAATCCAGTTCAAAGCAGATAATCTGGATTTCACACGTCAATGGAGAAGGGCCCATAATCCAGTTCAAAGCAACATCAATGAGGAAGGGCCCATAATCCAGTTCAAAGCAGATAATCTGGATTTCATATGTCAATGGAGAAGGGCCCATAATCCAGTTCAAAGCAACATCAATGAAGAAGGGCCCATAATCCAGTTCAAAGCAACATCAATGAAGAAGGGCCCATAATCCAGTTCAAAGCAGATAATCTGGATTTCACACGTCAATGGAGAAGGGCCCATAATCCAGTTCAAAGCAACATCAATGAGGAAGGGCCCATAATCCAGTTCAAAGCAGATAATCTGGATTTCACACGTCAATGGAGAAGGGCCCATAATCCAGTTCAAAGCAGATAATCTGGATTTCATATGTCAATGGAGAAGGGCCCATAATCCAGTTCAAAGCAACATCAATGAAGAAGGGCCCATAATCCAGTTCAAAGCAGATAATCTGGATTTCATATGTCAATGGAGAAGGGCCCATAATCCAGTTCAAAGCAACATCAATGAAGAAGGGCCCATAATCCAGTTCAAAGCAGATAATCTGGATTTCACACGTCAATGGAGAAGGGCCCATAATCCAGTTCAAAGCAGATAATCTGGATTTCATATGTCAATGGAGAAGGGCCCATAATCCAGTTCAAAGCAACATCAATGAAGAAGGGCCCATAATCCAGTTCAAAGCAGATAATCTGGATTTCACACGTCAATGGAGAAGGGCCCATAATCCAGTTCAAAGCAACATCAATGAGGAAGGGCCCATAATCCAGTTCAAAGCAGATAATCTGGATTTCACACGTCAATGGAGAAGGGCCCATAATCCAGTTCAAAGCAGATAATCTGGATTTCATATGTCAATGGAGAAGGGCCCATAATCCAGTTCAAAGCAACATCAATGAAGAAGGGCCCATAATCCAGTTCAAAGCAGATAATCTGGATTTCACACGTCAATGGAGAAGGGCCCATAATCCAGTTCAAAGCAGATAATCTGGATTTCATATGTCAATGGAGAAGGGCCCATAATCCAGTTCAAAGCAACATCAATGAAGAAGGGCCCATAATCCAGTTCAAAGCAGATAATCTGGATTTCATATGTCAATGGAGAAGGGCCCATAATCCAGTTCAAAGCAACATCAATGAAGAAGGGCCCATAATCCAGTTCAAAGCAGATAATCTGGATTTCACACGTCAATGGAGAAGGGCCCATAATCCAGTTCAAAGCAGATAATCTGGATTTCATATGTCAATGGAGAAGGGCCCATAATCCAGTTCAAAGCAACATCAATGAAGAAGGGCCCATAATCCAGTTCAAAGCAGATAATCTGGATTTCATATGTCAATGGAGAAGGGCCCATAATCCAGTTCAAAGCAACATCAATGAAGAAGGGCCCATAATCCAGTTCAAAGCAGATAATCTGGATTTCACACGTCAATGGAGAAGGGCCCATAATCCAGTTCAAAGCAGATAATCTGGATTTCATATGTCAATGGAGAAGGGCCCATAATCCAGTTCAAAGCAACATCAATGAAGAAGGGCCCATAATCCAGTTCAAAGCAGATAATCTGGATTTCATATGTCAATGGAGAAGGGCCCATAATCCAGTTCAAAGCAACATCAATGAGGAAGGGCCCATAATCCAGTTCAAAGCAGATAATCTGGATTTCACACGTCAATGGAGAAGGGCCCATAATCCAGTTCAAAGCAGATAATCTGGATTTCATATGTCAATGGAGAAGGGCCCATAATCCAGTTCAAAGCAACATCAATGAAGAAGGGCCCATAATCCAGTTCAAAGCAGATAATCTGGATTTCACACGTCAATGGAGAAGGGCCCATAATCCAGTTCAAAGCAGATAATCTGGATTTCATATGTCAATGGAGAAGGGCCCATAATCCAGTTCAAAGCAACATCAATGAAGAAGGGCCCATAATCCAGTTCAAAGCAGATAATCTGGATTTCATATGTCAATGGAGAAGGGCCCATAATCCAGTTCAAAGCAACATCAATGAAGAAGGGCCCATAATCCAGTTCAAAGCAGATAATCTGGATTTCACACGTCAATGGAGAAGGGCCCATAATCCAGTTCAAAGCAGATAATCTGGATTTCATATGTCAATGGAGAAGGGCCCATAATCCAGTTCAAAGCAACATCAATGAAGAAGGGCCCATAATCCAGTTCAAAGCAGATAATCTGGATTTCATACGTCAATGTAGAAGGGGCCTCAGTTCCATAAGTACTTTCAGAACTATGTTTGAAGGAGCTCGTTTCCATTCACCAACCACCTCAATTGGTTTCACACCTGGTTCTACCTTGTTGCAGTTCCTTTCTGCTGTTGACCTTCACTGGGGATCGGATTGGGAGCCTTGTTACCTGAGCCAGGTGTGGCAACCCAGGGTGTTAGGTGTTGCCCATAAAGACCTCCAGAAAGTAGTCCTTCTGACTGATCCTGGGCTTCTTCACCAGACGTCATGGGGCTTTCTGAGAACTTGCTGGTCACCTTGCTTGGTTGGGCCATATCTCAGGTGGCTTCCTACGACCCTTGGGATTATGCTCCAAGGAGGTCTTTGGAGAGCGGCCCTTCTGTGGGGCAGCCCTGGAGTTGGGTGGACGCCTCCCAGCCGAGGGTCCTGTCCCCCTTGGCCCCGGTCAGTGCCAAGTGTGGGGAGGCTCAGGTGGAGGTGACCGTCAAGAGGGACCTCTTTGGCACCGGGAGGCTCATCCAAGCAACCGACCTCACGTTGGGTTCGCCTGGGTGCCCACCCACCTCCGCCGATGCCTCCCAAGACACGGTGGTCTTCAACGTTGGCCTTCACGAATGCGGCAGCACTCTGCAGGTATCTCCTCCTCCTCTCATTTGGATTCCTTGGAGACCGAGGCTGGAGGGCCACCTGTTGGGAGTGCTTTGATTGTGACTGAGGAATACTGAGTGTTTTCTAGTTGTTATGAGTCTGTTTCTTTCCAAAAGTGTGTCTACACTAGGCATGGTCAGACTTTGGCCCTCTGGGTGTTTGGACTACAACTCCCACAATTCCTAACAGCCTACCGGCTGTTAGGAATTGTGGGAGTTGTAGTCCAAACACCCAGAGGGCCAAAGCCTGCCCATGCCTGGTCTACACTGTAGAATGGATGCAGTTTGACACCACTTGAACTGCTGTGGCTCAATGCTATGGAATGTTGGGCATTGTAGTTCTAAGAGGTCTTTAATTATAATAATAATAATAATAATAATAATAATAATAATATAATACAATATAACAATAATATAACATAATAATATAATATAATATAATTATAATATAATATAATTATAATATAATAATAATATAATAATATAACTGCTGTGGCTCAATGCTATGGAATGTTGGGCATTGTAGTTCTAAGAGGTCTTCAATAATAATAATAATATAATACAATAATACAATATAACAATAATATAACATAACATAATAATAATAATATAACATAATAATATAATAATAATAATGTAACTGCTGTGGCTCAATGATATTGAATGTTGGGCATTGTAGTTCTTTAATAATAATAATAATATAATAATAATAATATAACAATACAATAATACAATATAACAATAATATAACATAACATAATAATAATATAACATAATAATATAATAATAATAATGTAACTGCTGTGGCTCAATGATATTGAATGTTGGGCATTGTAGTTCTAAGAGGTCTTTAATAATAATAATATAATAATACAATAATACAATATAACAATAATATAAGTATAATATAATATAATATAATAATAATATAATGATAAATAATAATATTATATAATAATAATATATTATAATATAATAATATAATAACATAATAATAATATAACTGCTGTGGCTCAATGCTATTGAATGTTGGGCATTGTAGTTCTTTAATAATAATAATATAATAATAATAATATAACAATACAATAATACAATATAACAATAATATAACAATAATATAACATAATAATATAACATAATATAATATAATAATAATATAAAATAATAATATTATATATTAATAATATTATATATTAATAATATAATAATATGATAATATAATATAATAATAATGTAACTGCTGTGGATCAATGCTATTGAATGTTGGGCATTGTAGTTCTAAGAGGTCTTTAATAATAATACAATAATACAATATAACAATAATATAATAATAATATAATACAATAATGATATAATATAATAATAATATAATATAATAATAATAATATATAAAATAATAATAATAATAATAATATAATCTTTATTTTTGAAACGCCATCATCTCCCCAAAGGAGACTCGGGGCAGCTCAAATGAGGCCAAGCCTCTGAGGATGCTTGCCATAGATGCGGGTGAAACGTCAGGAGAGAATGCCTCTAGAACGTGGCCATATAGCCCGAAAAAAACCTACAACAACCCAGCGATTCCGGCCATGAAAGCCTTCGACAATACAATCTTTTGGGGTGTGTGTCTTCTAGGTGACTCCAGACTCCTTGGTCTACAGCATCAGCCTTTACTACAACCCTACTCCAGCTGGCAATGCCCTCGTTGTGAGAAGCAGCCCCGCTGAAGTCCCCATTGAGTGCCACTATCCAAGGTAAGTGATGACGTAGTGGCCGGACGTCTGCTGGACTTCCCCCTCGGAATGCCCACGTCTCTTTTCCTTTTCCAGGCGGAACAACGTGAGCAGCAAAGCCATGCAGCCCACTTGGGTGCCTTTCAGCTCCACGGCCTCCGCGGAACAGAAGATGAGCTTCTCCTTGCGCTTAATGGACGGTAGGCATCTCAAGGGCCATCCCAATGTCCAGCGCTTCTCAACCGGGGGGTCATAAGTGGTCTCAGAGGGGTCATATCTCCTCTCAGCCTTCTCTTCTTCAGGCTAAACATGCCCAGCTCCTTCAGCCGCTCCTCATAGGACTTGTTCTCCAGACCCTTGATCTGCTCCCTCCTCCCTGTGGCTTCCTCTCACATATTTATTATACATGGCTATCATATCTCCTCTCAGCCTTCTCTTCTTCAGGCTAAACATGCCCAGCTCCTTAAGCGCTCCTCATAGGGCTTGTTCTCCAAACTCTTGATCCGCTCTCCCTCCTCCCTGTGGCTTCCTCTCACATATTTATTATACATGGCTATCATATCTCCTCTCAGCCCTCTCTTCTTCAGGCTAAACATGCCCAGCTCCTTAAGCCGCTCCTCATAGGGCTGTTCTCCAGACCCTTGATCTGCTCCCTCCTCCCTGTGGCTTCCTCTCACATATTTATTATACATGGCTATCATATCTCCTCTCAGCCTTCTCTTCTTCAGGCTAAACATGCCCAGCTCCTTAAGCCACTCCTCACAGGGCTTGTTCTCCAAACTCTTGATCCGCTCTCCCTCCTCCCTGTGGCTTCCTCTCACATATTTATTATACATGGCTATCATATCTCCTCTCAGCCTTCTCTTCTTCAGGCTAAACATGCCCAGCTCCTTAAGCCGCTCCTCATAGGGCTTGTTCTCCAGCCCCTTGATCTGCTCCCTCCTCCCTGTGGCTTCCTCTCACATATTTATACATGGCTATCATATCTCCTCTCAGCCTTCTCTTCTTCAGGCTAAACATGCCCAGCTCCTTAAGCCGCTCCTCATAGGGCTTGTTCTCCAGACCCTTGATCTGCTCCCTCCTCCCTGTGGCTTCCTCTCGCATATTTATACATGGCTATCATATCTCCTCTCAGCCTTCTCTTCTTCAGGCTAAACATGCCCAGCTCCTTAAGCCGCTCCTCATAGGGCTTGTTCTCCAAACTCTTGATCCGCTCTCCCTCCTCCCTGTGGCTTCCTCTCACATATTTATTATACATGGCTATCATATCTCCTCTCAGCCTTCTCTTCTTCAGCCCAGCTCCTTAAGCCGCTCCTCATAGGGCTTGTTCTCCAGACCCTTGATCATTTTGCTCCCTCCTCCCTGTGGCTTCCTCTCACATATTTATACATGGCTATCATCTCCTCTCAGCCTTCTCTTCTTCAGGCTAAACATGCCCAGCTCCTTAAGCCGCTCCTCATAGGGCTTGTTCTCCAAACTCTTGATCGCTTGCTCCCTCCTCCCTGTGGCTTCCTCTCACATATTTATTATACATGGCTATCATATCTCCTCTCAGCCTTCTCTTCTTCAGGCTAAACATGCCCAGCTCCTTAAGCCGCTCCTCATAGGGCTTGTTCTCCAGGCCCTTGATCTGCTCCCTCCTCCCTGTGGCTTCCTCTCACATATTTATACATGGCTATCATATCTCCTCTCAGCCTTCTCTTCTTCAGGCTAAACATGCCCAGCTCCTTAAGCCGCTCCTCATAGGGCTTGTTCTCCAGACCCTTGATCTGCTCCCTCCTCCCTGTGGCTTCCTCTCACATATTTATCCATTGCTCTCATCATGTCTCCTCTCAGCCTTCTCTTCTTCAGGCTAAACATGCCCAGCTCCTTAAGCCGCTCCTCATAGGGCTTGTTCTCCAGACCCTTGATCTGCTCCCTCCTAGCTATGACTTCCTCTCACATATTTATCCATGGCCCTCATCATGTCTCCTCTCAGCCTTCTCTTCTGCAGGCTAAACATGCCCAGCTCCTTAAGCCGCTCCTCATAGGGCTTGTTCTCCAGGCCCTTGATCGTTTTAGTCGCCCTCCTCTGAACACATTCCACCAGTGTTCACATTTGGACATATTGAGTATCTGTGCCAAGTTTGGTCCAGATCCATCACTGTTTGAGTCCACAGTGCTCTCTGGATAAACTACAACTCCCAAACTCAAGGTACATGCCCACCAAACCCTTCCAGCATTTTCTGTTGGTTGTGATAGTTCTGTGTGTCAAGTTTGGTCCAGATCCATCATTGTTTGAGTCCACAGTGCTCTCTGGATGTAGGTGAACTACAACTCCCAAACTGAAGGTCAATGCCCACCCTGGATAAACTACAACTCCCAAACGTAAGGTCCATGCCCACCAAACCCTTCCAGCATTTTCTGTTGGTCGTGGGGCCCTGAGTTCCGTCTAGGTGGGATTCTGTCAAGAAAATTGTGTTTTCTAGACAATTGGAGCACAGCGCGAGCTTCCAGTGGTTTCCAACTGGGAGACGTGATGTATATCCAGGCGGATGTGAATACGGAGAACCACGTCCCCTTGAGGCTGTTTGTGGACAGCTGCGTGGCCACCTTGAGCCCGGGCACGGACTCCGCCCCTCGGTATCCCATCATTGACTACAAGGGGTAAGGTGTCTCTTTGGGATTTCATCCAGTAACACAACAGCATGTGATGGCGTCGTAACATCCCTCACCGCTCAAGCGGTGCCCTTACCAATAAAGAAGCTCGGCTGTTTTTGAACTGCTCAGGTGGACAGTGAGCTTGGGCTTATGGTCAGGGGCTCAATCCAACTCAGGCTTCGAAGTGATCTATTGCCGCGTACTGCTTGCCAGGCTAAGGTGATTCCATGAAACTTTCAGGCTAATAAGCTACGTTGAACTGACACTTTCCCTTGGTTTGCAAGAAGCCTAAATACCTTTCTATCATTTTTATTTATTTGTCGTGTCAGATCAACCAGTCAATTATATTACATTTCTAACAGAACAAAGCAAACAAACATACAAAAGACACAGAATTTGCAAGCTTGGTAGTTGATTAGATGTCCTTGGACCAGTCTCTGTCCCCTTGGAGTGCCCCTGGTGTTGCCGCAAGGAGGTCCTCCCTTGTGCATCATGTGGAAGAAGGGCTCAGGGTGCATTGCAGCAGGTGGTCAGTGGTTGGCTCTTCTCCGCACTCGCATGTCGTGGATTATTCCACTTTGTGGCCCCATTTCTTGAGGTTGGCTCTCCATCTCGTGGTGCCCGAGCGCAATCTGTTCAGCGCCTTCCAAGTTGCCCCGTCTTTTGTGTGCCCAGGGGGGAGTCTCTCATCTGGTATCCATTCTGGGTTTGAGCCTGCCACTTTTGGACTCTCGCTTGCTGAGGTGTTCCAGTGACTGTCTCTGTAGATCTTAGAAAATTATTTCTAGATTTAAGTCGTTGACGTGCTGGCTGATACACAAACGGGATGAGCTGGAGGTGTCTCTGCCTTGGTCCTTCCACTATTGGCTGCTACTTCCCGGAGGATGTCAGGTGGTGCAATACCGGCTAAGCAGTGTAGTTTCTCCCGTGGTGTAGGGCGCAGACACCCCGCGATAATGCGGCATGTCTCATTCAGAGCCACATCCCCTGCTTTAGCGTGGTGAGATGTGTTCCCACTGGGCATGCGTACTCAGCAGCAGAGTAGCATAGCGCAAGGGCAGATGTCTTCACTGTGTCTGGTTGTGATCCCCAGGTTGTGCCAGTCAGCTTAGTATGATATTGTTTCTGGCATCCACTTTTTGCTTGATGTTCAGGCAGTGCTTCTTGTAGGTCAGAGCACAGTCCAGAGTGACTCCCAGGTATTTGGGTGTGTTGCAATGCTCCAGTGGGGTTCCTTCCCAGGTAATCATCCTCAGAGCTCGGGATGCTTGTCTGTTCTTAAGGTGAAAGGCACATGTCTGTGTTTTAGATGGATTAGGGATCAGCTGGTTTTCCCTGTAATAGGCAGTAAGAGCACCTAGAAGCTTCGGAGAGCTTCTGTTCTACCATCTCAAAGCTCCCTGCTTGAGCGGTGATGGCACGATCATCAGCATAGATGAAGCTCTCCGTCCCTTCTGGCAGTGGCTGGTCATTTGTGTAGATGTTGAACATGGATGGAGGAAGCATGTTCCCCTGAGGCAGGCCGTTCTTCTGTTTCCGCCACCTGCTTCTCTGGCCCTGGAACTCAACAAAGAAGCTCCTGTTTTGTAGCAGGTTTCCTATGAGGCGGGTGAGGTGGTCGTCCTTTGTGATATTATACATTTTTCTCAGGAGGAGGCGGTGGTTGACGGTATCATAGGCTGTTGACAGGTCTATGAAGAAGCTATGTTGAACTGACACTTTCCCTTGGTTTGCAAGAAGCCTAAATACCTTTCTAATATGAAAACATTACATGAAATCATTGCGATGACCTTTCACCAAGCTGGTTTCTCATCTACCGGCCAGGCAACAACTCCGCCTGTCCCGGAGATCAAGACGAGCTTGTCAGGTCATTGTCAAGGCTTTCAGTACTTTCAGTCTCAGCGTGGGAAGGAGGTGAGTGCCTCCCCACCTGTTCGCTATCTCCTTCGTTACAATTCCTTTCTCTTGGGAACCGCTGTGGTGATGTTGACTCTGCACTGTCTGTGGGAGCCGCAGGACCAGAGATCTGAGGCACAGAAAAAGAGCCAGGAATCTGAATCCCATCATCCGCATCATCACAGAACATCTCAGCCACAACAAGCATATCCACACTCTCTTTTGGACTACAGCTCCCAGCATCCCCTAGACCAGGCCCTTTAGGAGAGGAGGATGCTCCAAATGCATTGCTTCCAAGATACAAGCTTTCTTCTCCTTGTATTTTTTGAGAGCATCCCAGTCCTGGCATATTCCCAATTTCCTATTCCTGGGCTGCAACTCCCAGCAATCCTCCAGATAGAGAGATTAGATAGAGATAGGCAGATAGATGGATCAGGAGGACTGCTGGGAGTTGCAGTCCAAGAACAGATAGAGAAGGAAGAAAGGGGAGAAAGAGGAAGGGAAAGAAAAGGGGGAAAGGAAGGGAAGAGGAAGAGAAGGGAGGGAGGAGAGAAGGAAAGAAAAGGGGGAAGGAAGGAGAGAAAGAGGGAGGGAAGGTTGGGCACAGCAACACGTGGCAGGTATAGCTAGTAAATAAATAAATTATGTTGTTTGCATTACTGAAGAGTTACAAAATGTTCCTAGGTTGTTGTAGGTTTTTCTGGGCTATATGGCCATTGGCCATGCTCTAGAGGCATTTTCTCCTGATGTTTCGCCTGCATCTATGGCAAGCATCCTCAGAGGTAGTGAGGGACATCTAATCACCTCTCAACAAAAGAATGCTCCAGGCACTGCCAGGCCATCAAATGCTAATCAAGGTGGTCAGTTGACACATTCACCCCTAGCTCCAGCAGACAAGAGTCCTTTGTCCCACCCTGGTCATTCCACAGATATAGTATAAACCCTTTTTCCTAGTTCCAACAGACCTCACTCCCTCTGAGGACGCTTGCCATAGATGCAGGCGAAACGTCAGGAGGGAATGCCTCTAGACCATAGCCATATAGCCTGGAAAAACCTACAACAACCCAATGATTCCGGCCAGGAAAGCCTTCGAGAATACATTACAACGTTCCTACTTTTCCAGCTGCCTTGTTGACGGGAGGTCGGATTCCAACTCGGCCTTTGTATCCCCGAGACTTCAAGACGACTCGCTCCGGTTCACAGTCGATGTCTTCAGGTTTACCCAAGATCCCAGAGATCTGGTCAGCGACCACCTTTCTCATCCCAGTTAACTTGGAGTGTTGCGTTCTGGGGCTCTGACTTGGCTCACGTGGGTTTCTTTTTCCTTCATCCTTCCTTCTAGATCTACATAACCTGCCACTTGAAGGTTTCTGCAGCTGACCAGGTTCCTGATTTGGAGAACAAGGCTTGTTCCTTCAGTCAAGCTAGTCAAAGGTGAGTTGATGCCTTGCCCTTGCCTCCTAGCAAAGACAATTTGACAACATCTGGAAGGCTTTATGTTGCACCTACAATGGGGGGAAAGTATTTATTTATTATTAATTTATTGACAGTGTTGATATCCCGCCCTTCTTCTCACCCCGCAGGGGACTCAGTGCGGATTACAATGTACACATACATGGCAAACATGCAATGCCATAGACACACAACACATATAGACAGACAGTCAGAGGCTATTTAACATTGCAACTTTTTCTGACCACCAAGGGAGCTGTCGCTTCACTGTCCATCTGCGACACTAATTTGAAAGGGTCTTTGAGCAAAGTTTGCAAATACTAAGGAAGGGGCTTTGAATGAAATTAACAGGAAAAGAGAGACATACCCTTTCTCTGTAGAAAAAAAAGAGCAATACGGAAGAAAATGTTTTTAAGAAACAAGATGTGACATGTAGAGGTACAAGAAGGTACTTTCTTACACAGGATGTGTTGTGGTTAACTTCAAAGGTTGTAGTAAAGTGTAGAGTCTGCATGTACAAGAAGGTACTTTCCAGCAAAAGGTCAAGGGAGAAGGGCTGGAAAGAGAGTACTTTCCATGACATAAAAATGTTCTTGTTTACTTGAGGTTATATATTTGGTGGTCAAAAGCCAAGACGGCACGGCAGTCACTTGAAGGGTAGCATCTGTGCATGCTACCCGGCTGTCCGTCTTCTTCATGAAGAAATTATAATACACCGTGTTTTTTGATCTCTTTTGGGACTGTCTCCTTCCTTACGTGTTCCCGTAACTGCATGGACCTAAGAAGACCCAATTTAGGGTCTCTAACATAATGAAGTACCTCCTCATTCCTTGCATGCTTGCTGGAGATTTTTATCACCTCGTAAATTAGTTAAAATATTTGGTCACCTACAAACAAGCAAGGTTTCTGGGTCTCACAGGCCTGTAACTTATTGAAGAAGCTCCTCTGTCCTCCACTCATGACCTGTAGTAATGGCACCTATTTGAACTTGTGGTCAGTCTCAAAGACCCCTGTTGTCCACAACCTCAAGCAGTCTCCCTCCAAACGCCACTCTGGTGAAGGCCAAAGAGCTGTCGAAGGACACCAGAAACAAAATGGTCGCCCTGGACCAGACTGGGAAGACTGAATCTGCAATAGGCAAGCAGCTTATTTATTTATTTATTTGCCGCATTTCTATTCCGCCCTTCTCCTCACCCCGCAGGGGACTCAGGGCGGATCACAATGTACACATGTACGGCAAACATTCAATGCCAATTTTTGACATACAAACATATACAGACATACACAGAGGCTATTTTTAACTTTTTTTTCTGGCCGCCAGGGGAGCAGTTGCTTTCCTCGTCCATCTGCAATGCTGATGAAGCACTTCTGCATTCCCCGCATGCTTCCCCGCTGGAATGCTTTGCTGGAGTCTTCTTTATGGCCTCATAAATTAGTTAATTTAGCCTCCCCACACTTTAAGGTGGTACCTAATTTTCCTACTTGACAGATGCAACTGTCTTTCAGGTTGCAAAGGTCGACAACAGGCTACACACAATTGGTTGGAAACCCACTCCAACCCGGGCTGGCTTTGAACTCATGACCGTTTGGTCAGAGTGATCTTAATGCAGCTGACACTCAGCCAGCTGCACCACAATCCCATCGGAGCAACAAAGTCCTGGAATGGCCTGGTCAGTCTCCAGATCTCAACCCTACAGAAAACCTTGGGAGGGAGTTGAAAGTCCATCTTGCCCAGAGACAGCCCCAAAACATCTCTGCTCTTGAGGAGACCGATCTGCATGGAGGAATGAATGGGTCGACAGACCAGCAACAGTGTGGGCCAACCTTGGGAGGACTTCCAGAAAACATTTGACCTCTGTCATTGCCAATAAAGGATATATAAGTCTTGAGATGAACTTTTGTTATGGACCAAATACTTACTTTCCACCATTTAAATTAAATTCGTAAAAATCAGACAATGTGGGTTTCTGGATGTGTTTCCTCATGTTGTCTCTCCTAGTTGAGGTCTACCTAGGATGTCTCTCATCTTTTTGAGTGGGAGAACTTGTACAGTTGGTATCTGACTAAATACTTTTTTCCCCCACTGTAGATGCAACTCTGACCCTTTTCTTCTCTCTCTTCCACCTCTTCCAGTTGGGTCCCAGTTGAAGGCACCAGGGACATCTGCACTTGCTGTGAACGGAGGAACTGTGACCAATTCCAAGGCCAGCCGAGGCGCATCAACCCCTGGGAGAGATGGGGCCGAGGGAGGAGGTCAGCCAGAGATGGGCCTGCTAAGCATGGTATGTTCCACATTGGTTGAATGATCCAGACAACCCGTTGCCCACCGGTCCATACTCCAGGACAACTCCAGATTTCCAAACCTTGGAATCCTATCACGGATTCTTCCCTTGTTCCCACCATAACAACTTCCCAGATTGGGAACTTGAGTCTCAAGATGACCCCAGATCTCTGGCCTCATGTTGGGTTTCTTGACATTAGCATGATCTAACCCAGTGTTTCTCAGCCTTCCTCATGCCGCGACCCCTTCATACAGTTCCTCATGTGGTGGTGACCCCCAACCATAACATTATTTCCAAAACTCTCATTTTGCTCCTGTTATGAATTGTCATGTAAATATCTGATATGCAGGATCTATTTTCATTCACTGGACCAAGTTTGGCACAAATACCCAATACGCCCAAATTTGACTACTGGCTGAACTATAAATCCCAGCAACTACAACTCCCAAATGTCAAAATCTATTTCCACCAGTGTTTAAATTTGGGCATATTGAGTATTTGTGCCAAGTTTGGTCCAGATCCATCATTGTTTGAGTCCTCAGTGCTCTCTGGATGGAGGTGAACTACAACTCCCAAACTCAAGGTCAGTGCCCACCAAACGCTTTCAGTATTTTCTGTTGGTCATTGGAGTCCTGTGTGCCAAGTTTGGTTCAATTCCATTGTTGGTGGAGTTCAGAATGCTCTTTGATTGTAGGTGAACTATCAATACCAGTAACTACAACTCCCAAATGTCAAGATCTATTTCCCCCAAACTCCATCAGTGTTCACATTTGGGCATATTGAGTATTCGTGCCAAGTTTGGTCCAGATCTATCATTGTTTGAGTCCAGAGTGCTAATTGGATATAGGTGAACTACAACTCCAAAACTCAAGGTCAATGCCCACCAAACACTTGCAATATTCTCTGTTGGTGGGCATTGGGAGTTCTGTGTGCCAAGTTTGGCTCAATTCCATCATTGGTGGGGTTCGGAATGCTCTTTGATTGTAGGTGAACTATAAATCCTAGCAACTACAACTCCCAAATGTCAAGATCTATTTCCCCCAAACTCCATCAGTGTTCACATTTGGTCATTTTGTGGATTTGTGAAAATGTTGGTCCAGATCCATCATTGTTTGAGTCCACGGTGGTCTCTAGATGTAGGTGAACTACAACTCCCAAACTCAAGGTCAGTGCCCACCAAACTATTCCAGTATTGCCTGTTGGTCATGGGAGTCTTGTGTGCCAAGTTTGGTTCAATTCAATCATTGGTGAAGTTCAGAATGCTCTTTGATTGTAGGTGAACTAGAAATCCCAGCAACTACAAGTCCCAAATTGGATTATGATTCATAAAAGTAGCAAAACTACAGTTATGAAGTAACAACAAAAACGTTACGGTTGGGGTCACCACAACGAGAGGAACTGTATTAAGGGGTCACGGCATGAGGAGAGTTGAGAAGCACTGCTCTATCAGACCCAAACCCTACCTGAGTCTCGGAGATCACCTTTCCTTTTGCAGCCCGCCCCCCTCATTCTCTGAGCCGTGATTGGATGTCCAGCCATGCCATTCACTTCAGTGCTCCTCCATCATTGTTTTGGACTTCAATTCTGAGAAGTCCTTTGCCAGTGTGACCGATGGGCAGGAACGCTGGTGCTAAATTTATTTATTTATTTATTTATTTATTTATTTATTTATTTGCCTTACTTCTATATCGCTGTTCTCAGCCCGAAGGCGACTCACAGCGGTTCACAACAAATACGAACAGCAAAAATTCAGTGCGACAGTATAGAAACAGTAACAACCTAACGCATTACACAAGTAATAAACAGTTACTACAATACCCATTCACTGTCTTCTCGTCATCAAAAACATGTTCCAGATTCGTCATCCATTGTTCCATTCCAGTGTTCATTAACCAATCATTGCACTCATTATTCGAACGCCTGCAGGTCTTCACCTTTTTGCGGAATACCATTAGAGATGGTTCTAGTCTAATGTCCATGGGAAGGGCGTTCCACAGCCGAGGAACCACCACCGAGAAGGCCCTATCTCTCGTCCCCGCCAGCCGAGCTTGAGAAGCAGGCGGGATCGAAAGCAGGGCCTCCCCGGAAGATCTCAAAGTCCTGGTGGGTTCATAGGCAGAGATGCGGTTGGATAGGTAGCTTGGGCCGGAACCGTTTAGGCCAACCGTTAAGGCCAACGGCAGCACCTTGAATTGAGCCCGGTAGCAGATCGGTAGCCGGTGGAGTTGGCGCAACAGGGGGTTTGTATGCTCTCTGCGCTCCGCTCCCGTTAGGATCATGGCTGCCGAGCGTTGGACTAGTTGGAGCTTCCGAGCTGTCTTCAAGGGCAGCCCCACGTAGAGAGCGTTGCAGTAGTCTAAACGGGATGTAACCAGAGCGTGGACTACTGTGGCCAAGTCAGACTTCCCAAGGTACGGGCGCAGCTGGCGCACAAGCTTTAACTGTGCAAATGCTCCCCTGGTCACCGCCGAAACCTGGGGTTCCAGGCTCAGCGATGAGTCCAGGGTCACACCCAAGCTGCGAACCTGCAAACCCACATTTGAGAAGGCCTCAACCCTGTGAGATATTATCTAACCTCATTCAAATCCAGGTGTGCTTACGGAGGTGGTGACGGACGTGATGTTGGGCCCGATCCTGATCCTGGATGCGTACCTGACCTCCAGGACCTTCGCTGGACGTCAAAGCGAAGCAATGAGATCCTCGGCAGAATATGGTACAGTTGGCACACAAACGTCAATGATGGTTGGAGGTGCCTCTGCCATTCCAGTTGGGCTGGAAAGGGGCCACCCAAGATGAGGGCACCCTGACTCATCTATAGTGGGTTCAGCCCCGACCTACCTAAGAGAACAGCTCTCATAACATTTCAGAATTGACATATATGTGCCTTCCTTTCCACAGACTTGGTTCAATCTCCGGGCATGTTGGTGGGAATCGTCTTGATGGCCGTGGCCGCCCTCCTGGCTCTCGCCACCGTCGGGATGCTCTGCGCTCGGAAGAGGCGTTCCGGGACGTCTTAAGAAGCCGTGGAAAATAGGCATCGTGGAGACAGCCATAATAATAATAACAATAACAATAAATTCAATAAATGAATAGAATCATTGGGCTGGTTTCCTTCTCTGTGGAAAGCATACTCTGGGTGGCCCCTTGTTCCAGGTCTTTGCTCTCAAAGTGAGTCAAACGACACTCTGGGTACGTCTACATTGTTGGGCGAATGCAGTTTGATGCCATGTGAACTCAATACTCTGGAATCCTGGGAGTTGTAGTGTTAGAGACCCTAATTTGGGTCTTTTTAGGTCCACGTCATGGGAGCACGAAAGGAAGGAGACAGTCCCAATGAAAGATCAAATTAACAAGGTTTTATTTTAGTTTCTTCATGAAGAAGACGGACAGCCGGGTAGCATGCGCAGATGCTATCCTTCAAGTGATTGCCATCCCCCTTGGCTTTTGACCACCAAATATATAACCTCAAGTAAACAAGTACTCGCTTTCTAGCCCCCTCTCTTGACCTTTTGATGGAAAGTACCTTCTTGTACATGCAGACTCCGCGCTTCAAAAAAACAACCTTTGAAGTTAACCACAAGCATCCTGTGTAAGAAAGTTCCCTCTTGTACTTAAAAACATTTTCTTCCGTATTGCTCTTTTTAAGTCAGAGAAAGGGTATGTCTCTCTTTTGCTGTTAATTCCATTCAAAGCCCCTTACTCAGAGACCCTTGAGGCCTCCTTCAGTAGTCTGGTGAGGCTCCCGCACTCTTTGGAGATTGAACAACTGCAACTCCCAGGATTCCATAACATTCAACCATGGCTGTTAAAGTGGTGTCAAACTGGATTAATTTTATGGTGAAGATGCCCACAGAGTTTAATGCTCAAGCCATTAAGCCTTTCATGCATAACTATAGCATTCCTAAAACACGGCTCTGTTTGAAAGACCTCCTTACTCAAGTTTGATTTCCTTGAGTAACTCTGATATTATTGCTTAATGAAACCCATTTATTGATGTTTGGAGAACCAAATACTGGATATGTTTTCTGTGCAGAATAAAAGGGATCAGAAACCAGGGGTCTGAGGAATGAATCAATCTTCCTCTGTATGTATGTATATGTGCGTGTGTGCATGCATGTGAAATAGAGGAATTTAAAATGGCCATGATAGTGAGATCCGAGCCAGGGTGTTGTAGTAAAGTCTGTTGGCAACTCTGCAACTGGTAGTACCGGGATTGTGGTGCAGCTGCATTAAGATCACTCTGACCAAAAGGTCATGAGTTCGAAGCCAGCCCAGGTTGGAGTGGGTTTCCAACCATTGTGTAGCCTGTTGTCAACCTTTGCAACCTGAAAGACAGTTGCATCTGTTAAGTAGGAAAATTAGGTACCACCTTAAAGTGTGGGGAGGCTAAATTAACTGATTTATGAGGCCATAAAGAAGACTCCAGCAAAGCATTCCAGCGGGGAAGCATGCGGGGAATGTGGAAGTGCTTCATCAGCCCGGGTTGGAGTGGGTTTCCAACCAATTGTGTAGCTTGTTGTCGACCTTTGCGACCTAAAAGACAGTTGCATCTGTCAAGTAGGAGAATTAGGTACCACCTTAAAGTGTGGGGAGGCTAAATTAACTGATTTATGAGGCCGTAAAGAAGACTCCAGCAAAGCATTCCAGCGGGGAAGCATGCGGGGAATGTGGAAGTGCTTCATCAGTGTCGCAGATGGACGAGGAAAGTGACAGAAAAAGTGAAATAGCCTCTGTGTATGTCTGTATACATTGTATGTCAAAAATTGGCATTGAATGTTTGCCATATATGTGTACACTGTAATCTGCCCTGAGTCCCCTGCGGGGTGAGGAAAAGGGCGGAATAGAAAAGGGCAAGCAGGATATGATATGTGCACATTGAAAGAGGAAAATAAAGATCTGTGGCTTCCACCGACAGAACCAGACCACCTGCATCTGCAAACCAATCCATTGATTCCAGCCTCCTACAACTTGTGGAACTCTCTGCTGCGGTTCCAAATTTCTCAATTTAATATTTTGATCTGGGGGAGTCCGTGCTCATGCACACATATGTACTTTGTTATGGCATCAGCGCTTTTCATATTATGTATCCCCATGTTTTATGTAATTATGATGTTATTGTTTATTGTTTGTGTTTTCGGTTGTGTCTTGGTTTTCTTTATTGCAATTGTTGTTCGGGCCTGGCCTCATGTAAGCCGAGTGGTGGCGGGGTATAAAGAAAGTTTACTATTATTAGGCAAGAGAAGGCTCAAGACCTTGCAAAACTATAACTCCCATAATTCCATAGCATTGAGCCATAGCAGTTCGAGTGATGTCAGGCTGCATTCATTATACAATGCAGACTTATATTGCATTATATTATGTATTATATATAATGCAATGCAATGCAATGCAATGCAATGCAATGCAATGCAATGCAATGCAATGCAATGCAATGCAATGCAATGCAATATTATATTATATTATATTATATTTTTAGCTAAAAGTCTCAAAAATGGAACTGATTGGGCAGCAGGAGGAGGAATTGAAACCAGGCCAGAAGCTGAAGGGTTAACTCTGGGCTGGCTGCCTTGCAAGAGGTCAGCTGATGCAGGGAAGCTTTGCAGTGATTGGCTCAAATAGAAAGGAGTCAGCTGATTCCCTTTTTGCAGCAGAGAGGAGAGAGTCCCCAGAGCCAGGAAACCATGGTGAGGATTTGCATGGGTTTGCTTTTCTAGTGGGAAGGTTGCAAATGCAACACATGCACCAGCTGATGGGGTTGCACTTTGCACACTGCCATGCCTCTGCTTGTTTGCAGGCCTGCAGAGCATAAGGATGGATTGCAGGGCCAAGAGTGCCCCTGGGCATGTGCAGAGTGCTTGCAGACTTAGTGTGCAGTTAGTTCATAAGACTGGGCTGGTTTAGGGAGTCAGGAGCTGCTTGGAAACACTTTGTTTTTCATGCAATTGGTAACAAACTAATACAAGAGAGAAATAAACAATAAGGTGTGTTTCCAAAACAATACGTTGCATTAATTTCCTAATTTCTATCCAGAGGTTCCGGTTTTGCGGCGACTTGGACTGTCCGGATTGGGTCTTGGCAGAAATCAGTACCTTGGCCAAAATTGTAAGCCATTTATTGTTGTTGGTATTATTATTTGATGCATAATAAGACCCTTCCCAAGTGTCTAGGACTGTGTGATGTATTATTATTATTATTATTATTATTATTATTATTATTATTATCACAACAAGATGAGTCCACAGCAGACACTCTGCTGGCTGTTGCATTGGATCACACGTCGGACCCTTCCTAAGTGTCTAGGACTGTGTTGTTGTTGTTGTTGTTATTATTATTAGAAACACAACAAGATGAGTCCACAGCAGACACTCTCCTGGCTGTTGCATTGGATCACACGTTGGACCCTTCCCAAGTGTCTAGGCCTGTGTGATGTATTATTATTATTATTATTATTATTATTATTATTATTATTGGGTTGTTGTAGGTTTTTTCGGGCTGTATGACCATAGTCTAGAGGCATTCTCTCCTGACGTTTTGCCTGCATCTATGGCAAGCATCCTCAGAGGTAGTGAGGTCTGTTGGAACTAGGAAAGTGGGTTTATATATCTGTGGAATGACCAGGGTGGGGCAAAGGACTCTTGTCTGCTGGAGCTAGGGGGGAATGTTTCAACTGACTACCTTGATTGGCATATAATGGCCTGACAATGCCTGGAACAAACTTTTGTTGAGAAGTGATTAGGTGTCCTTGTTTGATTCCTCTCTGTTGTTGTGCTGTTGTGCTGTTGCAAAAACTGCAAAAAATCCCATTATATGCTAATATCACAAAATCACAAGTCGAACACTTCCCAAGCATCTAGGACTGTGTGATGTATTTTTGAATGATGCGTGCAGATCAATTTATTATTATTATTATTATTATTATTATTATTATTATTATTATTATTATTGGAAACACCACAAGATGAGTTCACAGCAGACACTCTGCTGGCTGTTGTATTGGATCACATGTCGAACACTTCCCAAGTGTCTAGGACTGTGTGATGTATTATTATTATTATTATTATTGTTATTATTATTATTATTATTATTATTATTATTATTATTATTATTATTGGAAACACAACAAGATGAGTCCACAGCAGACACTCTGCTGGCTGTTGTATCGGATCACACGTTGAACACTTCCCAAGTGTCTAGGCCTGTGCGATGTATTATTATCATTATCATTATCATTATTATTATTATTATTATTATTATTATTATTATTATTATTATTATTGGAAACACAAGATGCGTCCACAGCAGGCACTCTGCTGGCTGTTGTATTGGATCACACGATGTATCGGTGCATAATGCGTGCAGATCCCAGTAAGGTGGCAGATGGTCATTTTGTCAGTGCCGATTGTGTTTAAGTGCAGACCATGGTCTTGAGGCGCCGCACCCAGTGTGCCCATCACCACTGGGACCACCTTGACTGGCTTGTGCCAGAGCCCTTGCAGTTCCATCTTTAAATCCTCATATTATTATAATTTTACTTATGACACAGTATGTCACAGCAAACGAGATCTCTATGATGGATTTCGTATCACAAAATCACAAGTTGGACACTTCCCAAGCATCTAGGACTGTGTGATGTATTTTCGAATGATGTGTGCAGATCGAATTATTATTATTATTATTATTATTATTATTATTATTATTATACTTTATTTTATTTTTATTTATTATTATTTATATTATATTATATTATTTATTTATTTATGTTGTTGTTGTTGTTAATTGTTTAATTTGGTCCTCATTCTAGTCCTCAGTGAAACTGAAGCTGATCTGTGTCCAAGTGCTGAAGGATCTCCTTGGGGATGGGATCGATGTAAGTGGATTTTTTGAGTCACTATATTAACTTCTTCTTGTTGTAATCATTATTATATTTATTTACTAGCCGTCCCCTGCCACGCGTTGCTGTGGCCAACATGGGGGTTCTGTGTGGGAGGTTTGGCCCAATTCTATCGTTGGTGGGATTCAGAATGCTCTTGGATTGTAGGTGTACTATAAATCCCAGCAACTACAACTCCCAAATATCAAGATTCTATTTTCCCCAAACTCCACCAGTGTTCACATTTGGGCATATTGAGTATTCGTGTAGAGTTTGGTCCAGATCCATCATGGTTTGAGTCCACAGTGCTCTCTGGATATAGGTGAACTACAACTCCAAATCCAAAGAACACTGCACACCAAACCCTTCCAGTATTTTCTGTTGGTCATGGGCGAACTGTGTGCCAAGTTTGGTTCAATTCTTTTGTTGGTGGGGTTCAGAATGCTCTGTGATTGTAGGTGAACTATAAATCCCAGCAACTACAACTCCCAAATGTTAAGATTCTATTTTCCCCAAATACCACCAGTGTTCACATTTGGGCATATGGAGTATTCGTGTAGAGTTTGGTCCGGATCCATCATTGTTAGAGTCCACAGTGATCTCTGGATGTAAGTGAACTACAACTCCCAAACTCAAGGTCAAGGCCCACCAAACCCTTCCAGTATTTTCTGTTGGTTGTGGGAGAACTGTGTGCCAAGTTTGGTTCAATTCTGTTGTTGGTGGGGTTCAGAATGCTCTTTAGTTGTAGGTGAACTATAAATCCCAGCAACTACAATTCCCAAATGACAAAATCATAATTTTGTGAGTGATGGTCACTCCTTGTGTAGTGAGACGTTTTGTTGCCAAATTTGGTGTGATTCCGTTCATTGGTTCTTTTGTTTTTAAGGGACTCATGACGCACAGAGCATTTTTATAGATAGAGATTGAGACAATGGAGCCCCCGTGGGCGCAGCAGTTAAACCACTGAGCTGCTAATCTTGCCGACCGAAATGTCAGCAGTTCAGATTCGGGGAGCAGGATGAGCTCCCACTGCTAGCCCCAGCTTCTGCCAACTCCAGCAGTTTGAAAACAAGTATTTGTGTTGTCCAGCCTGACCTGGGCGTTTCTCTTGCAGTACGAGAAGGTCCTCAAGCTGACGTCGGATGCCAAATTGGGTGAGTGTCCTTTCCTATTGGGAAAGGCGGCTGGGATCTCCAGAACTGCAGTGAAAGTGGTGCCAAACTGCATTCATTCTGCAGTGTAGACGCACTCTTGGCCGACGGGTAAGTCCGCCTTCCTTTTGCAGAGTCCGGGGACGTGAAGGCGACGGTTGCGGTGCTGGGCTTCCTCCTCTCCAGCGCGGCCAAGCACAACGTGGACTCCGAATCGCTCTCCAGCGAACTGCAACAATTGGGTTTGCCCAAAGGTGAGCCGGAGCTGAGACGTCTGAGTTTGGACTTCTTCCACACCATTATAGGGTTATAGGTATATACAGCCTTGCTCTCTAATCTTCTTTGCACTGTATGCAAGAACCTATAAATAAAGTTGTTTATTATTATTATTATTATTATTATTATTATTATTATTGTGGAGCACCGTTACCTTCCCGTCAAGGTGGTACCTACTGATCTACTCACATTAGCATGTTTTCAAACTGCTAGAGTTGGCAGAAGCTGGGGCTAACACTGGGAGCTCACCCTGCTCCCCGAATCCGAATTGCTGACCTTTCGGTCGGCAAGATTAGCAGCTCAGTGATTTAACTGCTGTGCCAACGGGGGCTCCATTGTCTCAATATTATATACAATAAAACATCTCTATAAATCAAAATGTCATGTTCGGTTGTGGGATTAACATAATGCAAAAACCACTGGACACATTGACACCGAATTTGGACACAAGACCCCTCTCAGGCCAACAAGTGACCATCACTCATAAAAACACTGAAAAACACAGTCAATAAACAAAAATTACATTGCAATGCATGTGCAAAACCACATATGTATATATATATATGCAAACACACATATATACATACACACATGTGGCGCAGCTGGCTGAGTGTCAGCTGCATTAAGATCACTCTGACCAAAAGGTCATGAGTTCGAAGCCAGCCCGGGTTGGAGTGGGTTTCCAACCATTGTGTAGCCTGTTGTTGACCTTTGCAACCCGAAAGACAGTTGCATCTGTCAAGTAGGAAAATAAGGTACCACCTTAAAGCGTGGGGAGGCTAAATTAACTGATTTATGAGGCCATAAAGGAGACTCCAGCAAAGCATTCCAGCGGGGAAGCATGCGGGGAATGCGGAAGTGCTTCATCAGCGTTGCAGATGGACGAGGAAAGCGGCCAGAAAAAGCTAAATACGTATGTCTGTATATGTTTGTATGTCAAAAATGTATGTCTGTATATGTTTGTATGTCAAAAATTGGCATTGAATGTTTGCCATATATGTGTACACTGTAGTCCGTCCTGAGTCCCCTGCGGGGTGAGGAGAAGGGCGGAAGAGAAATGCGGCAAATAAATAAATAAATAAATAAATAACATAAAAGCATTGCGATGACCTTTCCCTGAGCTGGCTTCTCGTCTGCCAGCCAGGCGAGAACTCCGCCTGACACACAAATCAAGACAAGCTTGCCGGGTCAGGTCGCTGTAGAGGCTTTCTGTACTTTCAGTATCATCTTCCCTCTGTCTATGTCTGTATATGTTGTATGTCAAAATTGGCATTGAATGTTTGCCATATATGTGTACACTGTAATCCGCCCTGAGTCCCCTGCGGAGTGAGGAGAAGGGCGGAATAGAAAAGCTGTAAATAAATAATAAGTAAATAAATGTTTAGACTTCAGCCCCATTTCCAATATATTTTATTATGCATATATATTTTATCTATTTATTTATTTATCTATTTTCCCCAAACTCCACCAGTATTCACATTTGGGTATATAGAGTATCCTTGCCAAGTTTGGTCCAGATCTATCATTGTTTGAGACGATAGTACTCTCTGAATGGAGGTGAACTACAACTCCCAAACTCAAGGTCAATGCCAACCAAACCCTTCCAGCATTTTCTGTTGGTCGTGGAAGTCCTGTGTGCTAAGTTTGGTTCAATTCCATCGTCGGTGGAGATCAGAATGCTTTTTGATTATAGGTGAACTATAAATCTCAGCAACTACAACTCCCAAATGACAAAATCAATGCCCGCCCAACCCCACCAGTATTCAAATTTCTACCAAATTTGGTCCAATGAATGAAAATACATCCTGCATATCAGATATTTACATTATGCTTCATAACAGGAGCCAAATTATAGTTATGAAGCAGCAATGAAAATAATTTTGTGGTTGGGGGTCTCCACAACATAAGGAACTGTATTAAGGGGTCTCCTTTGGGGAAATAATAATAATAATATTAATAATAATAATAATAATAATAATAATAATAATATTTTTCCTTATTTTGTGTTGTAGAGCATGCCACTGGATTGTGCCGGTCCTATGAAGAGAAACAGGCTTCCCTTCAAGACAGTCTTCGGAGAGGCAGCCTGAGAGGTCAGTACATCTGTTTTGTTTGGTTTTTTTGGTCATGTCAGGAGCGAAACGGCAAGTCGCTTCTGGTGTGAGAGAATTGGCCGTTTGCAAGGACGTTGCCCAGGGGACGTTGCCTGGATGTTTTGATGTTTTACCATCCTTGTGGGAGGCTTCTCTTATGTCCCTGCATGAGGAGCTGGAGCTGACAGAGGGAGCTCATCCGCCTCTCCCCGGATTCGAACCTGCGACCTGTCGGTCTTCAGTCCTGCCGGCACAAGGGTTGAACCCACTGCATCACCGGAAGTCCTTCACTCTACATTTGGTATCAGCCACTGATTGAGGTTCCGGCTTTGAGCCTGCCACTTTTGGACTCTCGCTTGCTGAGGTGTTGCTACGAGTGTCTCTGTAGAGCAGTGGTTCTCAACCTTCCTAATGCTGCGACCCCTTAATACAGTTCCTTATGTGGTGGTGACCCCCAACCATCCAGAATCCAGAAGTTGTGGGGTGGCAGTGTTTGAATCATCATCATCATCATCATCATCATCTATATAAATAAAAATGTAGTGTTCGTTTGTGGTATTCACAGAACTCAAAAACTACTGGGCGAATTGACACCAAATTTGGACACAAGACACCTAACGACCCAATGTACGTCCTTTGTAGTTGTAGTTGCTGGGATTTATAGTTCACCTACAATCAAAGAACATTCTGAACCCCACCAATGATGGAATTGAACTAATCTTAGGACACAGAACTCCCATGACCAATAGAAAATACTAGAAGGGTTTGCTGGGCACTGACCTTGAGTTTGGGAGTTGTAGTTCACCTACATCCAGAGAGCACTGAGGACACAAACAATGATAGATACGGATCAAACTAGGCACAAATACTAAATATGCCCAAATATGAACACAGATGGAGTTTGGGGGAAATAGACCCTGACATTTGGGAGTTGGAGACACTGGGATTTACAGTTCACCTTTAATCAAAGAGCATGCTGAACCCCACCAACGACAAAATTGGGGCAAACATAAATCATATAACAACATATATGGAAGATATTGTTGATGTGACAGATAAGTGGGAACCAATACGGAGCGTGTCCCTTGATTCTTGCAGTGAACAGCCTGGATTCAGTGTCTTGGAGGGTGGACTACACTTTCAGCTCCAGCCAACTCCAGCAAGTCAACGAGCCCGTCGTCCACCTCAAATTAAATGTGAGAAACGTTGACAGAGGCGTCCTGGAACCCGTTGCGATGACGCTGTCGGCAGAGAAGTTCCGGGTCTTGCTTGCAGGTCAGTGGCCGTCAATAAGGGGGTCAACTGGATGGCCAGCATACATTTCAATATTTCAGATTTCAATATTAATGTCAAAAATGCATAGTAGGATTTTCCATAGGATTTGTGCTACGTTAGAGCAGTAAAGAAAATATCTAGGTTGTTGTAGGTTTTTTCAGGCTATATGGCCATGGTCTAGAGGCATTCTCTCCTGACGTTTTGCCTGCATCTATGGCAAGTATTCTCAGAGGTAGTGAGGTCTATTGGAAGTAGGACAATGGGTTTATATATCTGTGGAATGACCAGGGTGGGACAAAGGACTCTTGTCTGCTGGAGCTAGGTGGGAATGTTTCAACTGACCACCTTGTGTAGCATTTGATGGCCTGGCAGTGCCTGGAGCAATCTTTTGTTGAGAGGTGGTTAGATGTCCTCGTTGTAGGTTTTTACGGGCTATATGGCCATGGTCTAGAGGCATGTACTCCTGACGTTTCGCCTGCATCTATGGCAAGCATCCTCAGAGGTAGTGAGGTCTCTTGGAACTAGGAAAAAGGGTTTATATATCTGTGGAATGATGACCAGGGTGAGACAAAGAACTCTTGTCTGCTGGAGCTAGGTGTGAATGTTTCAACTGACCACCTTGATTAGCATTTGATGGCCTGGCAGTGCCTGGGGCAATCTTTTGTTGAGAGGTGATTAGATGTCCTTGTTGTAGGTTTTTTGGGCTATATGGCCATGTTCTAGAAGCATTCTCTCCTGACATTTCGCCTGCATCTATAGCAAGCATCCTCAGGTAGTGAGGTCTAGGGAACTAGGGAACTGTTGGGACTAGGAAAAAGGGTTGACATATCTGTGGAATAATGACCAGAGTGGGACAAAGGACTCTTGACTGCTGGAGCTAGGTGTGAATGTTTCAACTGACCACCTTGATTAGCATATAATAGCCTGACAGAGCCTGGAGCAATCTTTTGTTTAGAGGTGATTAGATGTCTTTTTTTGTTTCCTCTCTGTTGTTTTGCTGTTGTAATTTTAGAGTTTTTTAATACTGGCAGCCAGATTTTGTTCATTTTCATGGTTTCCTCCTTTCTGTTGAAATTGTCCACATGCTTCTTGTGGATTTCAATGGCTTCTCTGTGTAGACTGACCTGGTGGTTGTGAGAGTGGTCCAGCATTTCTGTGTTCTCAAATAAAATGCTGTGTCCAGGTGGGTTCCTCAGAGAGGAAACAAACAAGGACATCTAATCACCTCTCAACAAAAGTTTGCTCCAGCCACTGTTAGGTCATTATATGCTAATCAAACATTCCCACCTAGCTCCAGCAGACAAGAGTCCTTTGTCACACCCTGGACATCATTCCACAGATATATAAACCCTTTTTCCTAGTTCCAACAGACCTCACTACCTCTGAGGATGCTTGCCATAGATGCAGGAGAAACATCAGGAGAGAATGCCTCTACAACATGGCCATATAGCCCCAAAAAACCTACAACAACCCACTAATCAAGGTGGTCAGTTGAAACATTCACCCCTAGCTCCAGCAGACAAGAGTCCTTTGTCCCACCCTGGTCATTCCACAGATATATAAACCCATTTTCCTAATTCCAACAGACCTCACTCCCTCTGAGGATGCTTGCCATAGATGCAGGCGAAATGTCAGGAGAGAATGCCGAGTCTAGACCATGGCCATATAGCCCGGAAAAACCTACAACAACCCAGTGATTCTGGCCATGAAAGCCTTCGACAAGACATTCTTTTATTTCTCTTTTTCTCTCTCTCTCTCTTTCTTTCTTTCCAGAGTTAAAGCAAGCCCAGGCCATCCTGAAGACCTTGGACTGAGAAGCCACCAGCATGGAAGAAGATGGTGCTTGGAATATATATGGCTTATTTGCATTTGCAGATACAGCATTTGCGATTGGGAAGGCAAGGCCATTGTCAAAATCCATTCCTCTTTTCTACTTTAAGACTGTTGGTTGCATAGTCAGGGCTTGTCTAAGCTTGCAGCATAAAAGAACAGATATTAGACTGCAAATAAAAATCACACACACACACACACACACACACACACATATATATATGAATTTTTATTTGCACTCTAACATCTGTATATTAGAGTATATGCATATATATATATATATATATATATATATATATATATATATATATATATATATATATATATATATATATATCTCCATTTGGAAGCCTGTGCAGTGCCCTCTCCGGTGTATGTCTCTTTCCAGCCTTGGTTTCCTTCTGGATCACCGTCAGCTTCTCTTCCATTTCAATTAAAACTCTCCTTGTCTCTGATTGTGGAGTTTGCGATTGATTCCCAAAAAAGGACCGACTATTGGATTGACGACTCCTTTCTTTCTTACCCTTTCTCCATATACCTTGGGAAACCAGACTTGGCCACGGTGGTCCACGCTCTGGTTACATCCTGAATAGACTACTGCGACATGACCTACGTGGGGCTGCCTTTGAAGACTGTTTGGAAGCTTCAAGCGGTCCAACAGGCAACAGCCAGGTTCCTTGCTGGAGTGGCAGACAGGGAGCACACAACTCTGGTTTCTGGTTTCAGGCCTGGCCATGGTACCGAGACGGCTTTGGAGGTGGATGACCTCCGTAGGGAGCTGGACAGGAGGAGTGTGACCCTGTTGGTTCTCTTGGACATCTCAGCGGCTTTCGATACCATCGACCATGGTATCCTTCTGGGTCGTCTCTCTGGGATGGGAGGGCACGGTTCTGTTGTGGCTCCGGTCCTTCCTGGAGGGACGATCCCAGATGGTGAAGCTGGGAGACGCCTGCTCGGACCCCTGGCCTTTGACCTGTGGGGTCCCGCAAGGCTCTATTCTGTCTCCCATGCTTTTTAACATCTACATGAAACCGCTGGGAGAGGTCATCCGGAGTTTTGGAGTTAGGTGCCACCTCTACGCAGATGACACACAACTCTACTACTCTTTCCACCTAATTCCAAGGAGGCCTCTCGGGTGCTGGACGAGTGCCTGGCCGCTGTGTCTATCTGGATGAGGAGGAACAAGCTGAAGATCAATCCCGACAAGACAGAGGTCCTCCTGGTCAATCGTAAACCTGACCAGGGTATAGGGTGGCAATCTGTGCTGGACATGGTTGCACTCCCCCTGAAGCCACAGGTCCACAGTTTGGAGTCCTCCTGGATTCATCGCTCACGCTTGAGGCTCAGGCGTCGGCAGTGGCCAGGAGGGCCTTTGCACAACTAAGACTCGTGTGCCAACTGCAACCGTACCTCGTGAAGGCGGATCTGGCCAGGGTGGTCCACACCTTAGTCACCTCTAGATTGGACTACTGCAATGCACTCTACGTGGGGCTGCCCTTGAAAACGGCTCGGAAATTCCAGATGGTCCAACGGGCGGCGGCCAGGTTGTTAACTGGGGCTTCTGACAGAAAGAGGTCATCCCTCCTGTTTAAGGAGCTCCACTGGCTGCCGTTCATTTTCCGGTCCCAATTCAAGGTGCAGGTTCTTACCTACAAAGCCCTGAACGGTTTGGGACCCGCCTACCTGCGCGACCGCATCTCTGTATATGAACCTACTAGGCCTGGGTAACAACGGAAAAATTTGTTTCTAAAATCGATTTGTATTTGGGGTTTTTTTTTTGTTTCGATATTTAAAATAATTATAAAATTTTCCTTTTAAAAAGTTCGATATTTACGAAATTTCGTAAATTTGGAAATTACGAAACAATTACGAAACGACTGCGAAACGAATATGAATCGATTCGTTAATGGCCGACGCGACCACGCAATATGCTAAAAAACCTCCAGATGGGACAGGGGGAACTTTTGAAGCTTCCCTCTCCCTCTGTTGTTGACTGTTGGTGTGATATTTATATATTTTTTTTCACTGATTAAACAAACAACAGGCCCAGACATGAGGAAATAATAACGAAACGACCTCAAAACTATAACGAAACGAATACAATATCGAAATACGAAGCATTTACAAAACGTTTTTGAAAATTCGCTTTTTTTAATAATTGCTCCAGAATGGTTCGTTATCGTTTTGTAATTGAAAAAATTAACGAATTATTAACGAATTACGAATTAACGAAACGAAACCGCCCAGCCCTAAACCTGAGCCCTGCTATATGCACAATGGAGGAGCCCTGCTCTCGATCCCACCAGCATCGCAGGCGCGATTGGTGGGGACGAGAGAGGGCCTTTTCGGTGGTGGCCCCTCGACTCTGGAACTCACTCCCTAAAGACATCAGACAGGCCCCAACTCTGGCAGTCTTCAGGAGGAGCTTGAAGACGTATGGCTGTTCCAGTGTGCCTTCCCGGAATAATGATCCCATAGCACTTTGTCCTCCAAAGCACTTTACATTTCTTTAGGTCTGCTCATATGCCCTTCCACAAACATTGGTATCACCTTTCGTCCATGTCCCAGCATTATTTCCAATTTGAACCTAACATTTGGCTTTCCGAAACCCAATTGTGTGTTGTCTTATTGATAATGTTGTGTATTTTATTGTCTATGGTTTTTTTAATCGCTTGTATCGTTGTTTTAAATTGCTTTTATTGTTGTTGTTATTGCTTGTATTGTTGTATTGTGGGCTCGGCCTCATGTAAACCGCACCGAGTCCCCTGGGGAGATGGTAGCGGGGTACAAATAAAGTGTTATTATTATTATTATTATTATTATTATTATTATTATTAAGGAGTCGGCCTCGCGACCCCTCCGATGAGCCCCCTGGGGGACGCGACCCCCAGGTTGAGAACTGCTGGTCTGGAAAGCCCTAAACGGTTCCGGTCCAGCTTACCTGTCTGAATAGATCTCCCTCTCTGAGCCAGCTTGGAGGTTAGGTTCACCTGGGGATGGCCTACCCTTGGTCCCACCTTCTTTGCAGGCATACCTGGTGGGGAGGAGAGATGGGACCTTCCTTCCTTATCAGTGGTGGCCCCTCAGCTTTGGAACTCCCCCTCCAGCGAAATTAAATTGGTCACCTCCCTTCTGATGCTCAGAAAACCACACCTGGCTATGCAAGCCAATTTAAAGTTCACCTGCAATCAAAGTACTTTGACCCCCAGAAAACTTGGCATGCACGCCCTATATGCCCAAATTTGAATACTGGTGGGTTTTGAGGGGAATTGGCCTATAATGAGATTTATAGTTCACCTGCAAACAATGGGCCCCCTGAACTCCACCAAAGAGGGAATTGGACCAAATTTGGTACACAGAGACCCCATGACCAGCAAAAAAAATACTGGAGGTCTCCAGAGAAAATTCACCTTGATTCGGGAGAGTTGTAGTTCACCTGCATCCAGAGAGCACTGTGAACCCAAACACTGATGGATCTGGACCAAACTTGGCACGAATACTCAATATGCCCAAATGTGAACACTGGTGGAATTTGGGGAAATAGACCTTGACGTTTGGGAATTGTAGTTGCTGGGATTTATAGTTCACCTACAATCAAAAAGTCCTTTGAACACCAACGATAGAATTGGGCCAAACTTGGCACACAGAACTCCCATGAACAGAAAATACTGGAAGGGTTTGGCGGGCATTGACCTTGAGTTTGGGAGTTGTAGTTCACCTGTATCCAGAGTGCACTGTGTACTCAAACAATGATGGATCTGGACCAAACTTGGCACACAGAACTCCCATGAACAGAAAATACTGGAAGGGTTTGGCGGGCATTGACCTTGAGTTTGGGAGTTGTAGTTCACCTACACCCAGAGAGCGATGTGGACTCAAACAATGATGGATCTGGACCAAACTTGGCACGAAGACTCAACATGCCCAAATGTGTATACTGGTGAGCTTGGGGAAAATAGGCCTTGGAAGAGACTTTGTGGGACATTCAGTCCATCCCCATTTCTGCCAAGAAGCAGGAAAATTGCATTCAAAGCACCCCTGACAGATGGCCATCCAGCCTCTGCTTCAAAGCATCCGGTACTTTAAGTACTGATGGGAGTTTCAGGGACAAACTTGGTGTGATGGGAGTTGTAGTTCACCCACAACCTTATGCATTCAGTACAATTAAAAAATGACCTTTTCCAATAACTAGGGCAACGCCAGGAAAATTGTAAAAATCAGACACAACTCACAATAACACAAAGCATTCAATATTCCAGTTAAATGGTTAATCATATATTTTACAGGTATTCTCGAAGGCTTTCATGGCTGGAATCACTGGGTTGTTGTAGGTTTTTCGGGCTGTATGGTCATGTTCTAGAAGCATTCTCTCCTGACGTTTCTCCTACATCTATGGCAAGCATCCTCAGAGGTAGTGAGGTCTGTTGGAACTAGGACAAAGGGTTTATGTATCTGTGGAATGACCAGGATGGGAATGTTTGCAGCGAGGTGGGAATGTTTCCACTGAACACCTTGATTAGCATACGATGGCCTGGCAGTGCCTGGAGCAATCTTTTGTTGAGAGATGATTAGATGTCCTTGTTTCCTCTCTGTTGTTGTGCTGTTGTAATTTTAGAGTTTTTTTTAACACTGGTAGCCTGATTTTGTTCATTTAAACTACCTACGGACACCTACGGACCCACCACCAGGACAATGCAATTGCAGGGCCATCATCCTTGGTTAATCATATATTTTATAGGTATTCTCGAAGGCTTTCATGGCTGGAATCATTGGGTTGTTGTAGGTTTTTCGGGCTGTATGGCCATGTTCTAGAAGCATTCCCTCCTGACTTTTCACCTGCATCTATGGCAAGCATCCTCAGGATGCTTGCCATAGATGCAGGCGAAACGTCAGGAGAGAATGCTTCTAGAACATGGCCATACAGCCCAAAAAAACCAATATATTTTTATCCATTGTATGCATGTTATACATTTAATCTCTACACATACTCATGGGATATTTCTTTATTCATCCTTAATATTAATTAATAGTAAGAGATATTATTATTATAATGAATGCTTATATTGACCTTTTCACAAAATGCTTATATATATATATATAGTATTGGATCACTGTTTATCATTATATCATAACTGCTACTGAGTAGTCCTTTTGCAGAAACATTGTGTGCTGCTGCTCCTTTAAGAAGGCAGTTCCCTCTGTCCTAGGGAAACTACATCTCCCAGCATGCCCCTGGCCCACTGTCAGGGGGAGTTTCCCTTGCAGTCTTGGCTTGGCTTGCATTGTTTCCTGCTTGGATTGCAAAACCAGGCAGCCCTTGGGTTATGCAAAAGCAGCTCCTCGTGGCTCAGGTGAGTTCACTCCCAGGCAGATTTCATCATTAATACATTAATTAATACATCATTAGGGAGTTTACTTTCCTCCTGTTTGTCTCCCAAACGTTTGCAAAAGGGAACCTCTGAGCATGTGCAAAGTTGCTTCTCCTCTCCGGCTTACCCCACTCTCTCTCTGCTCTTGTAGGCAAGGGACAGCTTTTAAATACCCCATATTTATTGTGTCAGCAACCAGGCATTTGTATCACATCCCTAACACAACAAAACAAACAAACAAACAGACAAAACACAAAGTTTGCAACTTTGGTGGTGGATTAGATGTCCTTTGAGCAGTCTCTGTCCCCTTGGAGTGACTCTGGTGTTGCCGCAAGGAGGTCCTCCCTTGTGCATCATGTGGAAGCAGGGCTCAGGGTGCATTGCAGCAGGTGGTCAGTAGTTTGCTCTTCTCCGCACTCGCATGTCGAGGATTATTCCACTTTGTGGCCCCATTTCTTGAGGTTGGCTCTGCATCTCGTGGGGCCAGAGCGCAGTCTGTTCAGCGCCTTCCAAGTCGCCCCATCCTCTGTGTGCCTAGGGGGGAGTCTCTCATTTAGTATCAGCCTGCCACGTTTGGACTCTCGCTTGCTGGGGTGTTCCAGCAAGTGTCTCTGTAGATCTTAGAAAACTATTTCTAGATTTAAGTCGTTGACATGCTGGCTGATACCCAAACAGGGGATGAGCTGGAGATGTCTCTGCCTTGGTCCTTTCACTATTGGCTGGTGCCCCCTGCCACTTTTGGACTCTCACTTGCTGAGGTGTTCCAGCGAGTGTCTCTGTAGATCTTAGAAAACTATTTCTAGGTTTAAGTCGTTGACATGCTGGCTGATACCTAAACAGGGGATGAGCTGGAGATGTCTCTGCCTTGGTCCTTTCACTATTGGCTGGTACCCCCTGCCACTTTTGGACTCTCGCTTGCTGAGGTGTTCCAGCAAGTGTCTCTGTAGATCTTAGAAAACTATTTCTAGATTTAAGTCATTGACATGCTGGCTGATGCCCAAACAAGGGATGAGCTGGAGATGTCTCTGCCTTGGTCCTTTCACTATCGGCTGCTACTCCCTGCCACTTTTGGACTCTTGCTTGCTGAGGTGTTCCAGCGAGTGTCTCTGTAGATCTTAGAAAACTATTCCTTGATTTAAGTTGTTGACGTGCTGGCTGATACCCAAACAGGGGATGAGCTGGAGATGTCTTTGCCTTGGTCCTTTCACTATTGGCTGCTACTTCCTGGCAGATGTCAGGTGGTGCAATACCGACTAAGCAGTGTAATTTCTCCAGTGGTGTGAGGCGTAAACATCCTGTGTCTCATGAAGAGCCACATCCACTGTTTGAGTGTAGTGAGATGTGTTCCACACTGGGCATGCGTACTCAGCAGCAGAGTAGCATAGCGCAATTGCAGATGTCTTCACTGTGTCTGGTTGTGATCCCCGGGTTGTGCCAGTCAGCTTTCGTATGATATTGTTTGTAGCGCCCACTTTTTGCTTGATGTTCAGGCAGTGCTTCTTGTAGGTCAGAGCACGGTCCAGAGAGACTCCTCCCAGGGATTTGGGTGCGCTGCAATGCTCCCGTGGGACTCCTTCCTTCCCAGGTAATAATCCTCGGAGCTCGGGATGCTTGTCTGTTCTTGAGATGAAAGGCGCATGTCTGTGTTTTAGATGGATTAGGGATCAGCTGGTTTTCCCTGTAATATGCAGGAAGAGCACCTAGAGCTTCGGAGAGCTTCTGTTCTACCATCTCAAAGCTCCCAGCTTGAGCAGTGATGGCACGATCGTCAGCATAGATGAAGCTCTCTGTCCCTTCTGGCAGTGGCTGGTCATTGTGTAGATGTTGGACATGGATGGAGCAAGCACGCTCCCCTGAGGCAGGCCCTTCTTCTGTTTCCGCCATCTGCTTCTCTGGCCCTGGAACTCAACAAAGAAGCTCCTGTTTTGTAGCAGGTTTCCTATGAGGCGGGTGAGACGGTCGTCCTGTGTGATACTATACATTTTTCTCAGGAGGAGGCGGTGGTTCACAGTCTCATAGGCTGCTGACAGGTCCATGAAGACGGCTCCTGTGATCTGCTGCCTTTCAAAGCCACCTTCTATGTGCTGAGTCAGGTTCAGCACTCGCGATGTGCCCCATAATACCCCATAATGTTATAATAGTATCATAACAACAGATCTTTTTAATATCCAATAATAATAATAATAATGGGTTGTTGTAGGTTTTTTCGGGCTATATGGCCATGTTCTAGAGGCATTCTCTCCTGACGTTTCGCCTGCATCTATGGCAAGCATCCTCAGAGGTAGGGAGGTCTGTTGGAAATAGGAAAAAAGGGTATATATCCCTGTGGACATCTAATTACCTCTCAACAAAAGTTTGCTCTAGGCACTGCCAGGCCATCATATGCTAATCAAGGTGTTCAGTGGAAACATTCACACCTAGCTCCAGCAGACAAGAGTCCTTTGTCCCACCCTGGTCATTCCACGGATATATAAACCCTTTTTCCTAGTTCCAACAGACCTCACTACCTCTGAGGATGCTTGCCATAGATGCAGGCGAACGTCAGGAGAAAATGCCTCTAGAATAGTGTTTCTCAAGCTTCCTAATCCCGCGACCCCTTAATGCAGTTCCTCATGTTTTACGAAATAACATTATTTTCGTAACTTCTTCATAACGGGGATTGTGGTGCAGCTGGCTGAGTATCAGCTGCATTAAGATCACTCTGACCAAAAAGGTCATGAGTTTGAAGCCAGCCCAGGTTGGAGTGGGTTTCCAACCAATTGTGTGTAGCCTGTTGTCGACCTTTGCAACCCGAAAGACAGTTGCATCTGTCAAGTAGGAAAATAAGGTACCACCTTAAAAGTGTGGGGAGGCTAAATTAACTAATTTATGAGGCCATAAAGAAGAAGACTCCAGCAAAGCATTCCAGCGGGGAAGCATGCGGGGAATGCGGAAGTACTTAATCAGTGTCGCAGATGGACGAGGAAAGCAACAGAAAATGTTAAATAGCTTCTGTGTATGTCTGTATAGGTTGTATGTCAAAATTGGCATTGAATGTTTGTCATATATGTGTACACTGTAATCCGCCCTGAGTCCCCTGCGGGGTGAGAATCTGTAAACAATCAATCAATCAATCAATCAATCAATCATATTTAGAACCAGGAAGAGAGCCTTGTTCAAATGGTGTTGCTGAGTGTTATATAGTCAACGTAGCTGGTCCACGACCCAACTCCATGCGCTCTTGGTTTCCAGCCATGCCGGAGGGTCCGGAGCTGTTCCTGACCAGCCGGTACATCAACGCCGCGTGCGGAGGGCTGGTCTTCTCTGGGAAAGTGGAGAAGTCGGAGGTGAGCAAGAACCCGGCCGTGCCCTTTGAGAGCCAGGCCTACCTGGTCTCCTCCACCTCGCGGGGGAAAGAGCTGAAGCTGACCCTCGCCCCGGTCAAGCGGGAAAAGGGCTCGCGTTCTCCCGCCAGAGACCCGAAAGCAATGGACGTCGTCTTCCGTTTTGGGATGTCCGGCGGCTTCAAGCTGGTCCCGGCCACCGAGGTGCCCAAGCACGCCCACCTGCGCTTTTACTCCAAAGAGAAGCCGGCCCGTGTCCTTTGCTACGTCGACGTCCGGCGCTTTGGCCGGTGGGAAGTGGACGGCACCTGGCAGGCGGAGCGAGGCCCCTGCGTGCTGCTGGAATATCAGAAGTTCAGGTGAGTTGCAAGGGGGGGGGGTCAATCAATAGAATACAGGCTGTCCCTGAGTTACAAACATCTGGCTTACATGTGACCTCTTGTTAAGAACAGGGCTGGACTAGATGGCCTTCAGGAGTCCCTTCCAAATCTATGATACTATACCTATATATACACACGCACACACACATATACATATATATTATTATACTAGCTGTACCCGCCACGTGTTGCTGTGGCCAACCTTCCCTCCCTCTTTCTCTCCTTCCTTCCCTCTTTTTCTTTCCCCATTTCTCTTCTTTCTTCCATCTCTACCTGTTTCTTTCCTCCCTTTCTTTGCTCTTTGGTTACTTCCTTCCTTCTTCTCTATCTTTCGTTCCTTCTCTCCTTCCTTCCCTCTCTTTTTCCTTTCACTTTTTATTTCCTTCTCTCTTTCCTTGCTTCTCTACCTTTTTTTCTTTCCTTCTTTCCACTTTCTCTCCTTCCTTTCCCCTTTCCTTCCTTCCTTCCTTCCTTCCCTCTCTTTTTCCTTTCACTTTTTATTTCCTTCTCTCTTTCCTTGCTTCTCTACCTTTCTTTCTTTCCTTCTTTCCACTTTCTCTCCTTCCTTTCCCCTTTCCTTCCTTCCCTCTCTTTTTCCTTTCACTTTTTATTTCCTTCTCTCTTTCCTTGCTTCTCTACCTTTTTTTCTTTCCTTCTTTCCACTTTCTCTCCTTCCTTTCCCCTTTCCTTCCTTCCTTCCTTCCTTCCCTCTCTTTTTCCTTTCACTTTTTATTTCCTTCTCTCTTTCCTTGCTTCTCTACCTTTCTTTCTTTCCTTCTTTCCACTTTCTCTCCTTCCTTTCCCCTTTCCTTCCTTCCTTCCCTCTCTTTTTCCTTTCACTTTTTATTTCCTTCTCTCTTTCCTTGCTCCTCTACCTTTCTTTCTTTCCTTCTTTCCCTCCCTCCGTCTCTCCTTCCTTTCTTCCCTCTTTCCCTCCTTCTCTCGTTACTTCTTGACTGTCCCTTCCATTTAATATTGTATTTATATCTTACATAGAAAGAAGGAAAGGAAGTACGAAGGAAGGAGGGACAGGAAGGAAGGAAGGAAAAGAAAGGAGGGACAGGAAGGGAGGAAGGAAGGAAGGAAGGAAGGAGGGAGGGAAAGGAGGGAGGGAAGTGAAGGGGAAGGAAATGAAAGGGGGAGAAGGAGGAAAGATAGGGAGGAAGGAAAAGAAGGAAAGGAAGGAGAGACAGGAAGGAGGGAAGGAAGAAAAGGAAGGAAAGGGAGGAAAGAAGCCTTCCTCTTTGCATCGGCGGCTTTGGGAGGTGGGCTTTGGGAGGTGGGCGTGGCTAGGCCCAGCTCTTCCGCATCGCCGCTTGTCGCCAGGGAGGTAGCCACGCCCACCTCGCAAAGCCGCCGATGCAAAGAGGAAGTAGGTGGGCGTGGGTAAGAACAGCTGTTCCTGAAGGCCACGCCCACAGCATTTACGAATCACTGGCGGAAGTCGTAAGGAAGATGGCGGACGCGGCTTCGATATGGCAAAAACACTTCCGGGTTACCAAAACGTGTCGATATCGCTTCTAAAGGTATTTTATTTACGATTTCATAACGAGATTAGAAATTAACGAGCTGGATCAACCAAGGCTAGTATATACACATATACACAAATATATATACATACATAAACACAGACTGGGCCACAGTAATGCGTGGCAGGGGACAGCTAGTATATCTGTGTGTGTGTGTGTGTGTGTGTAGAGGCCATCCCTCAGTTACAAACATCTGACTTACACCTGACTCCTAGTTGAGAATGGGACCGGACTGTATGGCTTCCAGGGGTCCCCTCCAAATTGAGGATACTAGACTTATCTAGATATCTACACACACACACACAAGCCGCCCTGACCCCTGTGTGCTGAAATGGACCAATGTTGTGTTTCAGGGAGAACGTGCTGAGGAACCTCTCGGCGGACAAAGCGTTTGAGAGGCCCATCTGCGAAGCTCTCCTCAACCAGAAGTACTTCAACGGCATCGGCAACTACCTCCGGGCAGAAATCCTCCACCGGTCAGTCCATATTGGGTGACGTTTCCAAGGTCAGGCTCGCCTGGGTCACTTTGGCCGTTGGGCACCAAAGGCTCTCCGCTTATGGAAACCCTCACAGACAAGGCGCATCTTTAGGAGGGGTCAGGGGTCAGCATGAGGGTCAAGGGAAGCCACGAGAGGAGGAGCAGCAGAAACGGTCCCAAGCTTTTCTTTTCCTTCCTTCTTCCCTTCCTTCCTTCCTTCCTTCCTTCCTTCCTTCCTTCCTTCCCACCCTCCCTCCCGCCCTCCCTCCCTCCTTCCTCTTTTCCTTTCCTCCTTCCCTCCCTCCCTCCTGCCCTCCTTCTTCTTCCTTCCCTCCCTCCTCCCTCCTCTTTTCTTTCCTCCTTCCTCCCTCCCTCTCCCTTCTCCCTTCTTCCTCCCTCCCTCCCTCCTCTTTTCCTTCCCTCCTTCCCTCCCTCCCTCCTGCCCTCTCCCTCTCTTCCTTCCTTCCTTCCCTCCCTGCCTCCCTCCTCTTTTCCTTTCCTCCTTCCCTCCCTCCTTCCCTCTCCCTTCATCCCTTCCTTCCCTCCCTTCCTCCCTCCTTCCTCTTTTCCTTCCTCGTCCCTTCCTTCCCTCCCTTCCTCCCTCCTTCCTCTTTTCCTTTCCTCCTTCCCTCCGTCCCTCTCCCTTCGTCCCTTCCTTCCTTCCCTCCCTCCCTTCTCTTTTCCTTTCCTCCTTCCCCCCTCCTTCCCTCTCCCTTCCTCCCTCCCTCCTTCCCTCTCCCTTCCTTCCCTCCCTCCCTCCTTCCTCTTTTCCTTTCCTCCTTCCCTCCCTCCCACCCTCCCTCTCCCTTCATCCCTTTCTTCCTTCCCTCCCTCCCTCCTCTTTTCCTTTCCTCCTTCCCTCCCTCCTTCCCTCTCCCTTCGTCCCTTCCTTCCCTCCCTTCCTCCCTCCTTCCTCTTTTCCTTTCCTCCTTCCCTCCGTCCCTCTCCCTTCGTCCCTTCCTTCCTTCCCTCCCTCCCTTCTCTTTTCCTTTCCTCCTTCCCCCCTCCTTCCCTCTCCCTTCCTCCCTCCCTCCTTCCCTCTCCCTTCCTTCCCTCCCTCCCTCCTTCCTCTTTTCCTTTCCTCCTTCCCTCCCTCCCACCCCCTCTCCCTCTCTTCCTTCCTTCCTTCCCTCCCTGCCTCCCTCCTCTTTTCCTTTCCTCCTTCCCTCCCTCCTTCCCTCTCCCTTCATCCCTTCCTTCCCTCCCTTCCTCCCTCCTTCCTCTTTTCCTTTCCTCCTTCCCTCCGTCCCTCTCCCTTCGTCCCTTCCTTCCTTCCCTCCCTCCCTTCTCTTTTCCTTTCCTCCTTCCCCCCTCCTTCCCTCTCCCTTCCTCCCTCCCTCCTTCCCTCTCCCTTCCTTCCCTCCCTCCCTCCTTCCTCTTTTCCTTTCCTCCTTCCCTCCCTCCCACCCTCCCTCTCCCTTCATCCCTTTCTTCCTTCCCTCCCTCCCTCCTCTTTTCCTTTCCTCCTTTGCTCCCTCCCTCTCCCTTCATCCCTTTCTTCCATCCCTCCCTCCCTCCCTCCCTCCTCTTTTCCTTCCCTCCTTCCCTCTCCCTCCCTCCCTTCTGTCCTTCCTTCTCTTCCTCCTTTCTTCTTTCCCTCCTTCCCTTTTTTGCCCGGCTCCAGCGGCTTGCTCCATTTCCTCCCCAGGCCCAGCCTCTCCTTCTTCTTCCTCCTCCTCCTCTTCTTGCAGCCTCAGGAGGGAAAGCAGTGGAGGAAGGAAGGCAAGGAGGGAGGGATGGAGAGAAGGCAAGGAGGAGGAGGAGGAGGAGGAGGGCCGCGCAGGTGAAAGTGTCCCTCTTGCCAGGGGAGGGTGGCATGAGTGGCCGAGGGAGGGAGGGAGGGAGGGAGGGAGGGGAAAGAGGAAAGGAAAGAGAAGGCGGTGAGTGGCAGGGGGGCGGGAGTGTCCCTAATTCGCGGTATTTCACTCATCATGGGTGGTCCTGGAATTCAACACCCGTGATAAGTGAGGGAACACTGTAGTTTTCTAAGATCTGCAGAGATACTTGCAGGAACACTCCAGCAAGCGAGAGTCCAAAAGTGGCAGGCTCAAACCCAGCACCTCAGTCAGTGGCTGATACCAGATGAGAGACTTCCCCCTGGCACACAGAAGCTGGGCGACTTGGAAGGCGCTGAACAGACTGCGCTCTGGCACCACGAGATGCAGAGCCAACCTTAAGAAATGGGGCCACAAAGTGGAATCCACGACATGCGAGTGCGGAGAAGAGCCAACCACTGACCACCTGCTGCAATGCACCCTGAGCCCTTCTTCCACATGATGCACCATGGAGGACCTCCTTGCGGCAACACCAGAGGCACTCCAAGGGGCCAGAGACTGGTCAAAGGACATTTAATAGAATACTCATAAAAACACTGAAAAATACTGCAGAAGGGGCTTTAAAAGCCAAAAAACCAAAAAGACGCTACAGCATTACAATGCATGTGCAAAACTACATATATACGCAAATACACATATACACAAAGATATAAACACACACAAAACACATATACACAGACTGGGCCGCAGCGACGTGTGTCAGGAGATGGCTAGTGATAAATAAATGAATCCCATTGCAGAGCCAGCTGAATAATCCTACTCATGACTGATGACGTCTTAGTGTTCCAAGAAGCCTTCCACTTGCAACTCCTTTCGCACTCTCTTTCTTCTGGTGCTCAAATAGTAATTATTATTATTATTATTATTTGCAGGTTAAGGATCCCTCCCTTTGAAAAAGCCCGGACCGTTCTGGAGGAGCTGCAGCATCAGGAAAAGGTGAGGAACGAGACTGAGAAGGCGACAGCTGAACAGGACAGACTACAACTCCCATGATCCCAAAACATGGAGCCATGGCCGTTCATGTAGTGTCAAGCGCATTCACTTCTACAGTGTAAACACAACCTAATTTTCTTACGTTGGCTGTGATCCTTTTCCAATGTTGACATATTTATTTCATACATCACTAGCTGTACCCGTCACGCATTGCTGTGGCCAACCTTCCATCCCTCTTTCTCTCCTTCTTTCTTTCCTTCCTTCCTTCCTTCCTTCGCTCTGTTTACTTCCTTCCTTCCCTTTTCTTTTTTCCTTCTCACCTTCCTTCTCTACCTCTTTCCTTCTTTCCCCTTTTTTCTTAACTTCTTCTTTCTCTCCTTCCTTCCTTCGCTCTTTCTTTCTTTCTTTCTTTCTCTCTTTCTTTCTCCACTCCTTTCCCTTCCCTTCCCTTTTTCTGTATCGTCATTTAGCTTTTCATCATTTAGATTTTTGGGGTTTTTAAGTACTTTCCGCTGTTTAATTGGGGGGGGGGGTTATGAGTGATGGTCACTCATTGGTCTGTTAGGGGTATAGTGTCCAAATTTGGTGTCAATTTGTCCAATGGTTTTTGAGTTATGTTAATCCCAGAAACGAACATTAGATTTTGATTTATATAGATTATCGTATACTACATTATCTCTCCTTCGGGAGAGATAAAGTGGTGTATAAATAGTAATAATAATAATTATTATTATTATTATTAATTAAATTTTAATTTAATTAATTTAATTAATTTTAAATTCCCATGATCCCAAAACATGGAGTCATGGCAGTTCAAGTGGCGTCAAGTGCATTTTCTTCTACATTTTAAATTGTATACTTATATACAATTATATATATATATATATATATATATATATATATATATATATATATATTATTTTACATCTTTTCTATTCCACCCTTCTCCTGACCCCGCAGGGGACTCAGGGCGGATTACAGTGTACACATATATGGCAAACATTCAATGCCAATATCGACATACAATATATACAGACAAAGACAGAGGCTATTTAACTTTTTTTCTGGCCGCCAGGGGAGCTGTCGCTTTCCTCGTCCATCTGTGATGCTGATGAAGCACTTCCGCATTCCCCGCATGCTTCTCTGCTGGAATGCTCTTCTGGAGTCTTCTTTATGGCCTCATAAATCAGTTAATTTAGCCTCCCCACACTTTAAGGTGGTACCTTATTTTCCTACTTGACAGATGCAACTGTCTTTCGGGTTGCAAAGGTCAACAACAGGCTACACACAATTGGTTGGAAACCCACCTGGCTTCGAACTCATGACCTTTTGGTCAGAGTGATCTTAATGCAGCTGACACTCAGCCAGCTGCGCCACAATCCCGGTGCTTAATTGCATAATTTTAAATTAAATACTTTACATTTTGATCAAATGCAACAGCCAGCAGAGTGATCTTGTTTGCTATGGACTCATCTTGTTGTGTTTCAAATAATAATAATAATAATAATAATAATAATAATAATAATAATAATAATATGCATTGACATTGGACTTACAAATTGAAATGGGAAGACTGGCAAAAGAGAACATCAGTGGTACCAATAGTGGTTGGTGCGTTTGGAGGCATTCCAAGAAACTCCCAAAAGCACTTAATTTGGACACAACATCAACCCACACTTCTCGGGGTGTGCACATTCTATGAAAATACCTCTAATATTCTAGATACTTGGGAAGAGCCCGATATTCAGAGACAACACCAGACACTTGCGCCTGATGTGCACATGTGCTGCAATGTTATATACATGGAATAAATATCCTATTGGTATCCTATTGCTCTCCGTCTTGCAGGCTTCTGACTTGACGCTGAGCAAGAAGGTGAAGCTGAAACGGGAGAACCCAGACTTGTTGGAGCTCTGCCACATTGTGCCCATGGAAGTCATTAATTTGGGTAAGAACTACAAATCCCTTTCTATTATAGAGCTGTTGTCCCCTTATAACGTCCATGGGGTGTGCCTACACTGCAGAATCGATGCAGTTTGATACCACTTTAATTGCTGTGTGTAGCGAAGGAGAGAGACTCTATTTAAGAAAAACCTCTTTGCTCTTATAATGATTCAGTTTCTTCTTTTATATTAGCTGGGACTTTCTGTGTGCTGTTTAACCTTTGTACAGGCACTGAGACACACTTCTGTATAACAAAGTAACACAGTTTATTTATAACTTCTGGCTCCAACGCTTGTGGTTACATTTGTGTTTTGTTGCAATCTTGAGGCTTACAGCCAGTATAATATACTTGGCTAACTTTTCTGAAATAGACTTTCAATGTTTCACATTCACAAACATAGAATCATAGAATCAAAGAGTTGGAAGAGACCTCATGGGCCATCCAGTCCAACCCCCTGCCAAGAAGCAGGAATATTGCATTCAAATCACCCCTGACAAATGGCCATCCAGCCTCTGCTTAAAAGCTTCCAAAGAAGGAGCCTCCACCACACTCCGGGGCAGAGAGTTCCACTGCTGAACGGCTCTCACAGTCAGGAAGTTCTTCCTAATGTTCAGATGGAATCTCCTCTCTTGTAGTTTGAACCCATTGTTCCGCGTCCTAGTCTCCAAGGAAGCAGAAAACAAGCTTGCTCCCTCCTCCCTGTGTTACTTGCTTTACACACTCTTGACTGAAATTATATTCTGACTAAAGCACCACTGACTTTCTTTATGTTCCTAAAACTTATGTTCTATTTAACTAACTGCTTCTATATATCAGAAGTCTTTAACACATCTTCATAACTGCTTATTTCTAACAGGAGTTCCTAACTATCTCTCACCAACAGGAATCCCTAACTCATCTCCCAAACAGCAATTCCTAACTCCCTCTTTTGACACTCTAACTGCCTATTTTTAAACTTTGGCTCCACCCCTTTGGAATGGTCAGCTCTTCTCTCTCTCCAACTGTCATTTTGGCCTAGCAACCTTTTCAAATCCTGGGCCTACGCTAATCTGCATATGACCAATCGGCTTCCATATGCAAATGAATCCTATCTCTGCTGTTGCTACCCTGTCTGTGCCTATTCTTTCCTATCTGCCATATGTAAACATAGAGCTATACACCAAAAATTTAACATAGAGTAGCAATTTCGCTACACTGTGCCTTCGAGTTAAGGAATGGTGTGAGTTGTCATTTGGTGAGCAAGCAAAAGTCCTTGTAAAGCTACAACTGCCACGATTCCATAATGCGGAGACTTAGAAATCCAAGTGGCACCGAACTGCATTAATTCCACAGTGTAGATGCACCCTTGCTTTCTAACATTCCCCCGTTTTCTCCCCCAGACAGTGGCAACGGTCATTATTGGGATCGCTCTGAGGACCACACCGCCTTTGAGAAGTGGCTTCGGTGCTACTCTGTCCCGGGCATGAAATCCCTCAGCGATTCGAATGGCAGGACCATTTGGTTTGAGGTCAGAACACATGAGGCAGATCGCAGTTTCAGGGAATGCAGGATGCTGCCGTGTGCGGGTCCCAAAGTCATTGAGACTGCATCTACATTGTGGAATGAGAGCAGTTTGATACCATTTTTAACTGCCGTGGCTCAGTGCTGTTGTAGTGTCACAAGGTGTGTACCCTTCTCTGACAAAGAAGGCCGGTGCCTCACTCAAGGGGTGCAAAAGTGTAAAATGGATGTATTTATTTACCTTATTTATTTATTTACTCTATTTATACCCTTTCGCCTTTCTCTACCCCAAAGGGGACTCAAGGCGGCTGACCTATGGCAATGATTCAATACCTTAAACACATATACACATGGAGCTGAAAATCAATTGGATTAACATTAAAACAAATTAAACATTTAAAAATTACATTCAATATTAAAATCACGCCATCCAAAAATCGTAGATTAAGGCCGCTCTGTAGTCATTGCACATCTTCCAATTATATTATTGCACTGCGCTATTCTCTGAAATAGTTGGATCTGGATATTCAAGTTTCCATAGCTGGTACATCCGTTTTCGGTATCCACATTTCTGTGGTTCTGATCTATAAGAGCAGTTCATGACAGTTTGGTTCTGTGGCATTGAAAATTTCTGCCATTTTTGTCGTTGTTTGGCTTCTAGTTGCCCTACAGGCCCACACCCTGGTTCCTGGTTCCACTCCCAAGCTGTGGACCTGTGCTTTCAGGGGACTTAATAATAATAATAATAACAATAATAATAATAATAATAATAATAATAATAATAATAATAATAACAACACTTTATTTGTACCCTGCTACCATCTCCCCAAGGGACTCTGTGTGGCTTACATGAGGCTGAGCCCAAATACAATACAAGCAATAATAACAACAATGCAATCAACTAAAAACACATAGACAATAAGATAAACAACATTATCAATAAAACAACACATAATTGAAAACAGTGGGAAGGCCAAATGTTAAGTTAAAATCGGAAATAATGCTGTGACATGAACGGAAGGTGATAGTGGCATTTGTGGAAGGGCATACGAGCAGACTTATGTAAAGTGCTTTGGAGGACAAAGTTCTATGGGGTCATTATTCCGGGAAGGCGCACTGGAACAACCACGTCTTCAAGTTCCTCCTGAAGACTGCCAAGGTTGGGGCCTGTCTGATGTCTTTAGGGAGTGGATTCCAGAGTCGAGGGGCCACCATCGAAAAGGCAATTGTCCCCAGCAATTGCGCCTGTGATCATGTGGGCTCGTATACAGAGATGCGGTCACGCAGGTAGGTGGGTCCCAAGCCGTTCAGGGCTTTGTAGGTCAGAACCTGCACCTTGAATTGGGTCCGGTAGATGAATGGCAACCGGTGGAGCTCCTTGAACAGGGGGGATGACCTCTCTCTGTAAGAAGCCCCAGTTAACAACCTGGCTGTTGCCTGTTGGATCATCTGAAATTTCCGGGCCGTTTTCAAGGGCAGCCCCACGTAGAGTGCATTGCAGTAATCCAGTCTAGAGGTGACTAAGGTGTGGACCACTTTGGCCAGATCCACCTTCACAAGGTATGGTTGCAGTTGGCGCATGAGTCTTAGTTGTGCAAAGGCCCTCCCGGCCACCACCAATGCCTGAGCCCCAAGCGTAAGTGAAGAATCCAGGAGGACCCCCAAACTGCCGACCTGTGGCTTCAGGGGGAGTGTAACCCCGCCCAGCACAGGTTGCCACCCTATACCCTGATCTGGTTTACATGTGCATAAGCCCTGAGTATGTCATCCTAAGTGACTCCATCCATCATCATTGGGATTGTTCCACACCAAGCATGGAAAGCAGACCTCCAATCTCTGAATGTCGGTTCTGGAGTAGGCAATGTTCCAGAATGCTTGTGGCAGTAGTATCATGTTATGGTTGTGATAGGTTCCCAGCATTAAAATATAAATTGTATACGGCTTTCTTTTGTCCCGATCCTATTCCCAAAATGGCTTTCTTTCCCATTTAGGGGGATCCTGGACCGATGGCCCCAAAAGGTGAGCATCACATTCCCTTCCTTCTCAGTAAAAGGTAAAGGTTTCCCTTGACATTAAGTCTAGTTGTGTCCGGCTCTGGGTCTCTGGGGCTCATCTCCATTTCTCAACCAAAGAGCCGGCGTTGTCCGTAGACACCTCCAAGGTCATGTGGCATCTGGCAGAACTGCATGGAGCGCCATTACCTTCCCGCCAAAGCAGTACCTATTGATCTACTCACATTGGCATGTTTTCAAACTGCTAGGTTGGCAGGAGCTGGGGCTGACAGCGGGAGTGCCCCAGATTCGAACCTGTGACCTTTCATTAACAAGTTCAGCAGCTCAGTGCTTTAACCCACTGTGCCATGGGGGGGGGGGGCTATATATGTGGTATAGTACAATATAGTAATACATAATACTAATATTGTCCTGTGCTAATAATACAATATATTGTATACACATACAATACTGATAATAATATTATAATGTAATACGATATAATACTAATAATAATACAATATAATAATAATACAGTATAATAATACAATAATACAGCAGGTGCTCACCCCACTCCCCGGATTTGAACCACTAATCTTTTGGTCAGCAGTTCAGCGGTTTAATCCGCTGCGCCACTCGGAGGCCCCTTCTCAGTACTTTCCTAAATTCCTGATATAGGAACAATCTTGTCTTTGAACTTGTAACCTGTCAAGTCCCTTTTGATGGATCCTTTTTAAAAATTTCCTAAGTGTTGATCGGGGAGGTAATGGGTCGCTTAGGGACCCCAAAGTTTGTTTCTATAAACCTCAGCTCGCTGGCGAAATAGGAAGGTGGGCTATCTCTCTTCTCGGAGTGGCAGGAGTCCATTTCTGACAGCATGAAGACATCACAAATGCCCTCGGTGACATCTTGACTGAATCATCCTGGCTGAATCAATTCTCTCTCTGTGACATTTTGAAGCCAACAGAAGGCACTGGAAGCCTTTTATTAGAACTTGTGAAGCAACAAGTTCTAATAAGGAAACTGAGAAGAGGGGGAGATGGGCAGGAAAGGGATATAAAAGGAAGTAGTGGTGGGAAAAAGTCAGTAGTGTCTTTCTTTGCTGCAGAGATACAAGCAATCTATCCATTTCAAAGCAAAAACGGCTTGTGAGTGGATATTTAATATTGCTATATAGATCCTACAGCAGTGGTTCTCAGCCTGGGGATTGGGACCCCTGGAGGGGTCACGAGGGAATGTCAGAGGAGCCACTAATGACCACCAGAAAACACAGTATTTTCTGTTGGTCATGGGGGCTCTATGTGGGAAGTTTGGCCCAATTCTGTCGTTCATGGGGTTCAGAATGCTCTTTGATTGTAGGTGAACTGTAAATCCCAGAAACTACAACTCCGAAATGTCAAGGTCTGTTTTCCCAAAACTCCACCAGTGTTCACATTTGGGCATATTGATTATTCGTGCCAAGTTTGGTTTAGATCCATCCTTGTTTGAGTCCACAGTACTCTCTGGATGCAGGTGAACGACAACTCCCAAACTCAAGGTCAACGCCCACCAAACGCAGTATTTTCTGTTGGTCTTGGGAGTTCTGTGTGTCAAGACTGGTTCAATTCCGTTGTTGGTGGAGTTCAGAATGTCCACAGTTCTCTCTGGATATAGGTGAACTACAACTCCCAAACTCAAGGTCAAGGCCCACCAAACCCCGTATTTTCCGTGGGTCATGGAAGTTCTGTGTGCCAAGTTTGGTTCAATTCCATTGTTGGTGGAGTTCAGAATGCTCTTTGATTGTAGGTGAACTATAAATCCCAGCAACTACAAATTCCAAATCACTAAATCAACCCCCCAACCACAGTATTCATATTTGGGCGTATTGGAGATTTGTGCCAAATTTGGTCCAGGGAATGAAAATGCATCCTGCATATCAGATACTTACATTACAATTCGTAACAGTGGCAAAATTACAGTTATGAAGTAGCAACAAAAATAACATTATGGTTGGCGGGGTCACCACAACATGAGGAATTGTGTTAAGGGGTTGTGGCATTAGGAAGGTTGTGAAACCCTGCTCTAGCTCAAGTCTAGTAGAATTAGTATGGTACAATTAGTAGAAATGAGCTAAGTGGAAAGGTGAAAAAATGGCAATATGAAAATGGTGTCCTGCTTTCTAACATCACAAATTCCCTCTGTGACATCCTGACTGAATCATCCTGGCTGCCTCAATTCTCTCTCTGTGACATTTTGAAGCCAGCAGAGAGTGCTGGAAACCTTGTATTGGAACTTGTGAAGCAACAAGTTCTAATAAGGAAACTGAGAAGGGGGGGGGGAGATGGGCAGGAAAGGTGTATAAAAGGAAGTGGTGGTGGGAAAAAGTCAGTAGTGTCTTTCTTTGCTGCAGAGATACAAGCAATATATCAATTTCAAAGCAAAAACGGCTTGTGAGTGGATATTTAATATTGCTATATAGTTCCTACAGTCTTACACAAAATGGCATTATTTTGAGCTGATACCAACAAAACGATTTGTTGGTTTTTTTCTATCAGGGGGTAAATCGCGCAAGAAACGGTTGCAGGTCAAAGCAGCTCCCGAAGTGCCGAAGGAGAAGCAAGGCCGGAAACGGCCGCAAGTTAAACATGAGGCTGATGCGTCAAGTCCAAAGGTACGGGGACCGGGAAGGGAGGCTTGACTTCCGTTGGGAATTGTTCTCCAGGTGTGGCTGAACGTTCAACTCCCAGCCGTGGGTTGCACTCTTGCTTCATGTCCAGAGGTGGAATGTCAACCAGTTCTGGCTGAAGTGGGCCAAACAGGAGGGCAGCCAGTGGAGCTGGCATAATCAGGGGGTTGTATGCTCCCTGAGCGCCGCTCCTGTTAACAACCTGGCTGCCGATCGTTGGACTAGTTGAAGCTTCCAGACTGTCTTCAAAGGCAACCCCACGTAGAGAGCGTTGCAGTAGTCTATACAGGATGTAACCAGTGCATGGACTACTGTGGCCAAGTCAAACTTCCCAATTTACGGGCGCAGCTGGCGCACAAGTTTTAACTGTGCGAATGCTCCCCTGGTCACCGCTGAGACCTGAGGTTCCAGGCTCAGTATGAGTCCAGGATCACTCCCAAGCTGCGAACCTGCGTCTTCAGGGGGAGTGTGACCCCCGTCTAACACAGGCTGTAACCCTATGCCCTGTTCGGCCTTGCGACTGACCAGGAGGACCTCTGTCTTGTCTGGATTCAATTTCAATCGGTTCACCCTCATCCAGACCGTCACAGCAGCCAGGCACCGGTTCAGGACCTGGACAGCCTCCTTAGTAGCAGGTGGGAAGGAGTGATAGAGTTGGACATCATCCGCGTACAGATGACACCGCACCCCGAAACTCCAGATGATCTCCCCCAGCGGCTTCATGTAGATGTTGAACAACATAGGAGACAGTATTGATCCCTGAGGAACCCCAGGAGACAAAGGATGTGGGGTTGAGAGGAACCTCTAGGAAATTCATCTGGGGTTTCCATATATCATTTCCCCTTGGTATATAATTTAATTTGGTTCTTGATGTTTGGCTCCCTCTTTCTCATTTTTACCTCCCTGAAATTAGAAATGTGATTTTTTTAAAAATTTCTTGGCTTTCATCCAAGCGTTATGCTGTCTTGGCCTTAGATGAGGAAGCCAACGGCACCGAGGAAACAATCCAAGGCCAGCACTGCTCCCAAAGCGGCCAAGGAGACCAGGAGGCCGAGGACCAAAGCAGCCAAAGGAAGCGAAGGTGCCGCCGTGGCCCATGGATCCAGGACACCCAAGGCCAGGCCACGGAGAAAGAGCTCCGCCCTCCAAGAGTCTCCGGTGACGGACTCTGGGGCTCGGAAAAAGAGAGGTGAGAGGGGTACCTATCCTGCAAATATATCGAGGCCATTTAATGAGACCATGGGGTGGAAAGAAGATTGGGAAGGACATTGAGGTGAGTCTTCTGTGTAGCACGCTTCTGTTGGGCGAATGGGCTTGTTGACAAAAGACCCCCCCCATGAATGTACAGCAGAGTAACTTCTGAGCAGCAGTGTGACCCGGCACCAGGAGCCCAAAGGGACACAAAGAACAGGCCAAGGTGATCTCTCTTCCTTAGGAGGCTCTCCTTTGTAGCAAAATAATATGGTCGCACTATTTACAAGAACAAGGTTTTCATGACACAAATAACGTTCTTCATACTTCCTTCTTTGCTTCCACACTGGGCTTCTTTCTCATGCAGGTAAACAGCTTCACTCTCACAGAGACTCTTCTCATACCGAACTTACACAGGAGCTTTACACACAGCAGCTTCACACACGAGGCCTTCAACCTGGGGCTTCTCTCACCGAAGCTTCTCTCACCAGGCCTTCTCAAACTGAGGCAAACTAACCCTGAGGCTTTCTCTCACACTGAGGCCTTCTCACACTGAGGGCTTTCTCATGCTGAGGGCTCTCTCACACTGAGGCAAACTAACACTGAGGTTTTCTCTCACACTGAGGCCTTTCTCCCTCTGAGGGTTCTCTCACACTGAGGTGAACTAACACTGAGGTTTTCTCTCACACTGAGGCCTTTCTCCCACTGAGGGCTCTCTCACACTGAGGTGAACTAACACTGAGGTTTTCTCTCACACTGAGGGTTTTCTCCCACTGAGGCCTTCTCATGCTGAGGGCTCTCTCAGACAGGCCTCTCATGCTGAGGGCTCTCTCACACTGAGACGAACGAACACTGAGGTTTTCTCTCACACTGAAACGAACTAACACTGAGGTTTTCTCTCACACTGAGGCCTTTCTCACACAAAGACCTTCTCACACTGAGGCGAACCAACACTGAGGTTTCCTCTCACGCTGAGGCCTTTCTCCCACTGAGGCCTTCTCACACTGAGGGCTCTCTCATGCCGAGAGCTCTCTCACATCGAGGCGAACCAACATTGAGGTTTTCTCTCACACTGAGGCTTTTCTCCCACTGAGGCCTTCTCATACTGAGGGCTCTCTCAGACAGGCCTCTCTCACATTGAACTAACACTGAGGCCTACTAAGCTACAGTAGCTAACGTAGAACTACAGCTTTGACTGAATCACTGCACCCATTTAACCCTTTCAGTGCTTGACTCACACTTTTGTAATTAAAAATACCGAGTTAATTTTTAATATTCCGGACAGGTTCCACTGTAGAGAACTCGGCTAATGACTGTTTTTTCTCCCCTCTTAGCTCAAGCAGCTGTGGCTACGACACGACCCAGGCGTGTGAAAGCGGAATAACACGGAACAGTATTTTCATGTATTGTCGAAAGCTTTCATGGCCGGAATCACTGGGTTGTTGCAGGTTTTTTCGGGCTATATGGCCATGTTCTAGAGGCATTCTCTCCTGACGTTTCGCCTGCATCTATGGCAAGCATCCTCAGAGGTAGTGAGGTCTGGTGGAAATGGGAAAATGGGTTTATATATCTGTGGAATCACCATGGCGGGACAAAGAACTCTTGTCTGCTGGAGCCTGGAGCTAAGTGTTGTGACTGATTAGCCTGACCTGAAATTATAATGGCCTGACAGTGCCTGGGGCAATCTTTTGTTGAGAGGTGATTAGATGTCCTTGTTTGTTTCCTCTCTGTTGTTGTGCTGTTGTAATTTTTGAGTTTTTTTTAATACTGGTAGCCAACCTGGACATATTTGAGAACACGGAAATGCTGGACCACTCTTACAACCACCATGTCAGACTACACAGAGAAGCCACTGAAATCCACAAGAAGCATGTGGACAATTTCAACAGAAAGGAGGAAACCATGAAAATGAACACAATCTGGCTACCAGTATTAAAAAACTCTAAAATTACAACAGCACAACAACAGAGAGGAAACAAACAAGGACATCTAATCACCTCTCAACAAAAGATTGCTAAAAAAGCCAATGGGATTTTTGTTCATTTTCATGGTTTCCTCCTTTCTGTTGAAATTTTCCACATGCTTCTTGTGGGTTTCAATGGCTTCTCTGTGTAGTCTGACATGGTGGTTGTGAGAGTGGTCCAGCATTTCTGTGTTCTTAAATAATGATGAACCAACCTGGACACAGCATGTTCTCAAATTATGACAGCACAACAACAGAGAGGAAACAAACAAGGACATCTAATCACCTCTCAACAAAAGTTTGCTCTAGGCACTGCCAGGCCATCAAATGCTAATCAAGGTGGTCAGTTGAAGCATTCACACCTCGCTCCAGCAGAGAAGAGTCCTTTGTCCCACCCTGGTCATTATTCCACAGATATATCAACCCATTTTCCTAGTTCCAACAGACCTCACAACCTCTGAGGATGCTTGCCATAGATGCAGGCGAAACGTCAGGAGAGAATGCCTCTAGACCATGGCCATATAGCCCCAAAAAACCTACAACAACCTAGTATTTTCATGTATTGTGCCTTAAGACAACCTGTTCTGGATCTAGTGATGGATAAATGCCCCAGGTTGCTTCCATTGCCTTCTTGACGACACCCGAGAAACGCCTGGAGGAACCAAGGGAATTATAGTCCACCTACAATCCACCTACAGAGTTCTTCCTTTGCTGGGGCCCTTCTGCTTGCTTACGGATTCACTGCCAATGCACTTTCTGAAATATTGCTGGAGCGTCAACAGAACAGAAAGGTTAGTGGAAGCTCTTCCTGCCCTGGAGCGGACATCTTCCAGGTCTCGCCGCATAGGTCAATAGTAGTCTGCGCCGATATGCCTTCCCTATGATTAATTGCACCAGATCAGGAAACAAGACCATAAGATATTAATCCACCACACTTGACTGTGGGAAAAACAATTCTTTTTTATTGATGAAAAAATGGTTATAAAATAGAGGAAAATGCAAAGTCAAAAGGCCACAGTAAAATTCAGCAGTTAGGAATATCTCTGAACTAGATCAAAATTCCAAAAGCAACACTATAAAAACCTGGAACCTGTTAGTATCTCACTAACCGTACTTGGAAACTAGAAGCCTCTGGGAATGCAGGCCATGGGAAACGGGAACTCAGCCAGATAACGCCTCAGTTTAAACGATGCTTGATCTAACAAGAGAGCCCGGGGAGAGACACTTTAAACTAAAGAAACTGTTTCGGGACACACCTCCAGGCTTGGAAGCCTCCTTTGCCTTTAATCTACTTGACCTTCACAGACTCTGCGATTCACTCCTGTTTTTCCAAATCTGTCCCTTTCTATCCTCATTAAAAAAGGCAGGTGTTAACTCCTCTGGAGAGTTATCACCGCTTGATTCGGAAACATCCTCATCAGGATGTGTAGTTTCACTTTCCCAGCCACTGCCCTCAGAATCAACAGTTTCCAAACCATCAGGGAAAAATACATTCCTTCCTCTCTTCACTCTTAATACCATAGAAAACTCAGAAGAGGCGGGTTCCAGAGGATTTAACCTTATTGATCCCTGTTGATGGCAGACGCACCCAGATCATTTAGATCAAAGCTTCGGTTTCATCGATTGCCAATTGATTGGACAGATTTGGAAATGAGTGGGACCGGGCCCACCCACCGTACATTTGACATTCTGGTGCACTTAATTATGACTTGGTTAAATCTTTTCTATCTTCGCATCTTCCCTTTGATTGATGCATATTTTAAAAATGCTATGCAATAATAAAATTTATTTTTCAAACGCCGTGGTCTGCTCGAAGGTGGCTCCCTGATGAGTTTGAAACAGATATTTGAAAAGATCTGGACCTTTCAGCTCCACATTTCTTTATTACGGACAGATTCGAACGCAATTAAATTCACATTGTGTCCCTTTAAAGCCTGGGGGTCGGGACCGTTGTGGGGGGTTGCAAGGGGGTGTCAGTGGGAAACAGATATTTCTGGTGGTCCGCCTGCCCTTCTCTTCCTTTTTGGAAACAGACGGCGAATCCTCCCACCAAAAGCCCTCCTCTGCTGTGATTGGCCGCCCTCTCAGCCAAGGGGAGGGCTCTTTCTGAGACTCCACGTGGGGAGGCTGGATGGCCATCTGCCAGGGGTAATTTGAATGGGCATGTTTAGCCTGAAGAAGAGAAGGCTGAGAGGGGATATGATAGCCATGTATAAATACGTGAGAGGAAGCCACAGGGAGGAGGAGTGAGCAAGCTTCCTTTCTGCTTCCCTGGAGACTAGGATGCAAAACAATGGCTTCAAACTGCAAGAACAAGCCCTATGAGGAGCGGCTTAAGGAGCTGGGCATGTTTAGCCTGAAGAAGAGAAGGCTGAGAGGAGATATGATAGCCATGGATACATATGTGAGAGGAAGCCACAGGGAGGAGGAGGGAGCAGGCTTCCTTTCTGCTTCCTTGGAGACTAGGATGTGAAACAATGGCTTCAAACTACAAGAGAGGAGATTCCACCTGAAATATGAAGAAGAACTTCATCCCTGACTGAGAGAGCCGTTCAGCAGTGGAACTCTCTGCCCAGTGTGGTGGAGGCTCCTTCTTTGGAAGCTTTGAAACAGAGGCTGGATGTCCATCTGTCAGGGGTGCTTTGAATGCAATATTCCTGCTTCTTGGCAGAATGGGGTTGGACTGGATGATGGCCCAGGAGGTCTCTTCCCACTCTTTGATTCTATGATTCTAGGGGAGAGCAGGTGTGCTTGGCTCATGGCAGCATGGTATGCATGTGCGGGTGAGGGAGAGCATGTAAGGCTGGAGGGAGGCTTATGCCAGTGAGTCCCTTCAAGGCATGTGGGTTCTGTGTGGGAAATTTGGCCCAATTCTGTTGTTGGTGGGGTTCAGAAACCTCCTTGATTGTAGGTGAACTATAAATCCCAGTAACTACAACTCCCAAGTGTCAAGGTCATTTCCCCCAAACTCCACCAGTGTTCACATTTGGGCATATGAGTATTTGTGCCAAGTTTGGTTTAGATCCATCCTTGTTTGAGTCCACAGTGCTCTCTGGATGTAGGAGGAGCTGTAGTTCACCTACATCCAGAGATCACTGTGGACTCAAACAAGGATGGATCTAAACCAAACTCTACAAGAATACTCAATATGCCCAAAGGTGAACACTGGTGGAGAATCTTGACATTTGGGAGTTGTGGTTGTTGGGATTTATAGTTCACCTACAATCACAGAGCATTCTGAACCCTTCCGACGATAGAATTGGGGTCAAACCTCCCACACAGAACCCCCATGTGGGCCACAGCAACGTGTGGCAGGGGACGGCTAGTATTATAAGATATATAGGAAATTGGAAGTAACCAATAAGAGCCGATATCCGGGAATCCAAATAACAGCGCATAATTCACAAGTCTTAAAAAACAATCACGAAGTAACCTGGAAAGAACTGAGGAAAAAACTAGAGGGTGGGAAATTCCTATATTGATCTCTGCTAGGAAGCTTGGCTGTTATTGAAACGAGTATTCTTCCAAAAATGTTATTTTTATTTCAAACTAGCCGTCCCCTGCCAGGCGTTGCTGTGGCCCAGTCTGTTCATCTGGAAAATAAAGTAATTAGGAAGTGCTGGTTTCTAATCTATGTGATGTATTCCTGCTTGTGAGTAAACAGTATTTCTTGATGTTTCTTTGACAGTGTTGACGTAGAGATTGTTTGGTTTGCCTACTCTGTATCATTGCCCTTCTTTAGGAGTCCCTTTCAAATCTATGATACTATATCTCTCTGTGTGTGAATCATATCTATCTATATGTATGGCTGGATGGCTCTCTGTCAGGAGGGCTGTGATTACGATTCTTGCCCTGGTGAAGGGAGTTGGACTGGATGGCCTTGAGTATTTTCTGTTGGTCATGCATAGGGGTTCTGTGTGGGAAGTTTGGCCCAATTCTGTCATTCGTGGGGTTCATTCAGAATGGTCTTTGATTGTAGGAGAACTATAAATCCCAGTAACTACAACTCCCAAACGTCAAGGTCTATTTCCCCCCAAACTCCATCTGTCTTCATATTTGGGCATATGGAATATTTGTGCAAAGTTTGGTCCAGATCCATAACTGCTTGAGTCCGCACTGCTCTCTGAATGTAGGTGAACTACAACTCCAAACTTAAGCTCAGGG